TTTATCCCACTGTACATGCTGAAGCGAGAGATAGAGGATGATTATTACGGAATCAGTCATGCAGCCAGTAAAGGCTGTTCAGAATGCCTCGTGTTAACCTTGTCATGGTTGTATGGTTAGAAAAAACATTCCGACTTGCACTTTTGCGATCTCATAAGCAACGCTCTGATTGGTTGGATGAAAAGCCATTCTGAAGTGAGCTGTACTAGGATGTCTTCAGATCTAGGCGTAGCAAGCTCTAAGATCTGATTTTAATGAGATATTGGGTCCATGTCCTAGATTAAAAAAACCACAGGAGCAAACCTCAAGGACCCTAATACCGCCTTAATTTCAAACACAGACTGACATTACCATGAGTGATGCAGAACATCTGTCCTATATCTGCAATTTCCTGAACATTTACTTTTCCATCAACATGATCAATATGACACAAGTGATAATCATTCTGACTGCCAGTGGTAATTACTGACCGGATTATTTGGTCAAAATCACAACTACTGTACGTTAGTTACAACTGTAAAAGAATATTGGTGAAAAAGCATCAATCTGATTTATTGTGTAGGCCAGAAAGTGACAACATAAAGTATTACAACATTCAACATTCATGAAATCATCAGCAGAACTTGATTGGTCACAGAGGCATGACAAGCATGGCTTCCTTTTATAAATAAAACTTCAACATATTGATTGAATGCATCTCCTGTTAACAGGGGTTGATTTAACTGCTGGCCCGTTGGCCTATTGCCAGTTTAAATTATGAAAGGCTTGCTGAAACAAAAAACAGAAGGCCCGTCTGGTTAGTCAAAAGTTAACCCCTTCAAATGTATGTCGAATTTTTTTAATTCGACACTGCATGTGAATCATGTAATTTTGATGAGTAAATACAAAGGGAGATGAGGTCGTGTAATGTTTGGTAAATACAACATCTTAATTTGCTCATAAAATCACCACGAAATGAGGAAATGGACATGATGGAAGCCAAAATTTAACCTCAGAGTGCAGGAAATGACGTTTTAGGGGTGAGGAGTTCTAAAAATGTCAAGGGTAACTCAGTTGTGGCCTCCAACATTTAGTTTTGGGCCAGTTGGTTTGGAGAAGAGCCAGTAACTCTTGAAAGGGGCAAGCCCTGCTGCCTACATACATGACATATGAATTTGTTGTTAAATCTACCCCTGTGGTATAGCTACTGTATGAGTGTCCTGATACATAAATTCAGCAATAGAAATTGGCACTGGTCCTTCAGTCCTTGCCAAACTGCCCAGTAGTAGTGAGTGAGTGAGTACGGATTTACGCCGCTTTTAGCAATATTCCAGCAATATAACGACGGGGACACCAGAAAGGGGCTTCACGCATTGTTCCTATGTCAGGAACCGAACCCGTGTCTTCGGTGTGACGAGCAAATGCTTTAACCACTAGGCTACCCGACTGCCCCTGCCACATGGTAAGAGAACTAGTAGAAATTTGCCATTTGTAAGGGGTTTGCTATGTTATCTTTATAAGGACTTGAGGACTAAACATTGCTAAACATAGTTTCTGTCGCTGAAATTATATCATTATCAATATTGATTAACAATTACACCTTGTAAACTTAGGCTCGACTTGGGTCAAAAAACATTCAACTATTTTGCATTTTGTAAATAAGAGATAGCAGAAATATATAGTACAGACACCATGAACACTAGTCGAAAACCTTAAACTTGTGAAATTTCTTTCTGTCTCGTACATGTAGTAAACTCTGCACATTATAGCCCACACATGATGTGCTGACATCAAAAGCTGTTAACTTGTTGCCAACAGCATGAACAGACTAGTTCAGGCTGATTGACATGAAAGTTTTTGACACAGACTGAAAAAAAATTATAATCCTGATCATTGATGCGATAACCATGATAACACCTTGCTACAATTGTTTGTTTGTTGTTTAATGCCGCACTCAGCAATATTCCAGCTATGTGACGGCGGTCTGTAAAATAACGGGTCTGGACTAGACAATCCAGTGATTGACATAATGAGCATCGATCCACGCAATTGGGATCGATGACACGTATCAACCAAACTGGGAAATAAAATGTCACTTTGTTCAATAATTTTTTTCTTTTATCATGTTTATAGTTCTTATTTTCCTAGAGATGTGGAGTCAGAATGTTCAGAAGTATTTTGACAACGCATTCAAAGCAGTAATTTATAGCAAAGCAACAAAGCCTCTGGTCTTGCTCTTTATTGGCCCTGATATCAATGAAACACACCTTTGCAAAGCAATAACATTAGTTATAACTATAATAGCATAACTGGGAAATTTTGATTTCAATATTGACATTTCCTGCAGAGCTGCGGGCCAAATAACAGATAAAACCTGGATATAATTGATACAGATAGAAATATACATTCTATGATATCACTTTCATGTGACATGATTGGGGCGGACACAAAGCCTGTGATATTTGATCCCTGTATCATGTACATACATATATGTGTTTAAAACAGTGTTTGAAGTACTGTGCACTAAAAACAGTATGTAACTATATCTTGAAAGTTGATGGCCCTCATTTGAAACTGCTGAAGCAGAAAATGATATTTCTCAGATCTACGTTACTCTGTGTCTCTAAAATTTACAGCTTCATAATCGCAAAGGTAGTCCTTCCTCTCAGGTAAGTGTCACCAAGTTCATATGGAACATTAAAATCAAGACCTTTTCAAGGCTTTTTAAAGCTGCCAACTGTCATTTTGAAGACTTTTTTAGTAGGGTTATAAGCCTTAGTCTGTCAATACTTCATTAAATCCAGCATACCATATATTAGACCTAAAAAGCAGTAAGACCATCTCATATTTTCCAACAAGATTTATTTTTCAACCCACCCCCACCCCCCCCGAAATATATTTAAGTCTGTCATGAATTCTTCAGAGTCTTTAGCACACAAATCTATCACTGTTGAAAAGTCACACTTAAACATCTTTGGTACATATTCTTGCATGCTTTTATACTTTGATTAACAGGTATATGTCATTTTGTACAAACTCAAGGCCATTTCAAGCTATTTTGGTGGCTCAAAAATTTTCAAGGCTCTTCAAGATTGACACTAAAAATAAATGCTTTTCAAGAGGGACCTTAAATTTCAAGGCTTTTTCAACTTGGTTACATATCAATGTTGGATTCAAAACTGTCAATGTCAGTAAAGCAATGAAATTAAAACACAGAACTTTGCATGATTGTCTGCCATTATGATAATGCCTGCATGACTGTAACATATGATAATGTTCATGCAAGGTTAGAAATTAACAGTGGCAGGGATTTATCTAGACCTGTTCAGTAGCCGATATTTGGCCCCAAATATCAGTACAAATTCCCACTTTGGAATCATGCATTTCCCAACTCATGCTGTTACAGTTATGATAATGTTATGGCCAAGTAGAGGTGACTTGTATTAAACTGTGAACAGGGCCAACATAGAGGAAGTAGCTTAATGCTTTGATTATTGTCATTGCATTGAATGCTATGTTAAAAATACATCTGAATTCAGAAAAAAATACGAACTTTAAAATAATCTCAATTTTGAACAAAATAGTGATCTTTCCCAATTAGCCTGTCAAAGGCACTTAATTTTGATTCCTAGATAAATCCTTGACTTGCCCTGCCCAGTAACAGTTTCTAGGGGAAAGTAGGCCACAGTGTGTCAAGGATCCAGCTCATCATAGTCTCAACCCTTATGACGTAAGCTTTTAGCTCAGGGTTACTAGACTCAATTAATTACCATATCAACAAACCTATTAAAAAAACATGTTGATGATGCTTGTCATCATATCCCAATTGCGTAGATCAATGCTCATGATCACTGGATTATCTGATCCAGACACGATCATTTACAATCCTCCGTCATTCAGCTGGAATCATGCTTCTAATAAATGGTGATTTATTGGTTTGGTTGAATTGAAAGTTAGTGATTGAGTGAAAAACATGGACTGTCTGAACGTATATGCTTCACCTGAACTAGTTTCAATCATAATAATATCCATACTTGTTTTTGTCAAAGGAACTCGCAGTGGACAATATTTGCATCCGATCTTAATTTTTATGCATATAGAAGGTGCATAGGATGAAATCTGCAATTTTGTATCTGGTATAGCCATGTATACTATTTCCATCTGCAAACCAATATCATTATTATGATTATCAATACACATGATAATAATTTGTTATAAAATTGAAATCTAATCAGCAATGACCATAGCTAAGGTCTCAATCAACATGATCAATGCACCACTCACTGCTTTATCACGGGAACCAAAAGATTGTTTCAATTTAATACATAAATCATGTGCATAACGTCCTAATTTTATGTTGCCAAGCAACACAAGAGAATCACAGATTCAGAACATATTTACAACAAATTGATTGACCAGCGTTGACAGTTTAAATTCTTGTACGAGGATGAACCTATTTTAGTGGCAAGCACTGGTTCCTGTAAACTAGATCTGCTTTGCTTTCATTCCTTGGGATATATTACCCTGTCAAGATAGTCATCATTCAGGTACTAGCCTATATAACTGGATATTATTGTTTTTGTTGGGTTTTTCTCTTATCAAACACAACAGCTACAACATGAAAAATATCATAGCCGACACATTGTCACGGAGAAAACGTGAGGAATATTTGGATGTGTCATATCTATATAAGTCAAGTCATTTTACTTAGAGTAAGAGGCAGTAACGTCAAATGTCCCGTTATGACTCATACCCAAGAAAGATTTATTGATTGATCTAAGAAACATGTCCAACATCGTCACCATGACAAATCGGATTGACAGACATATTTCCACACGTGCGTGAGTTCGGTGTACATAAAGTGACATGGGTGGCAAGTAATTTGGGCTTAGTGTGAAACAGGTGGTGGACAATCATGCGCACTCGTTGCGAGCCACACAACATCACACTCAGCCAGCGGAACCCATCAGCGGGCTCACAAATCGGACGATGATCTTTTGACAAAGTACAATTGTACTTACAACTCTTTTACAATACCACCCTTGTAACGGCTGCCGCTACCACTGCCGCCAGGCGACACAGGACTCTCGGCTTTCTGCTGGCTCGACATGATTATCTTCACCGGTCTCAACCCTACACGGCGTAACCAACATGGGCGAAAAAGAATGTGACGTCACGGGGCAGGTGCCCGGATCCGGAATTTAGCATTTATTAATCTCGGTATTTACCTAATAGCCAACAACACCACACACTTGCCATCGTAACGAATGGATAAAAACAAAAAAGAATTATTTATACTCTGTAATATGCGATGAAAATCCACATTATATTTATTCATAATACGAATCGTTTGCTGTCAGTATTGGTCGACATGACCTTTCAAAACAACGGTCAAAGGTCAAAGTTTGTTTTGGACAATCAGCCTTCCAACACATGACTGGGATAAATACAAAGTTCAAATATAGCCACCATGGATCTGTTTTTGATTGGCATCGTATTTATTGTTGTTGTACTTCTTCTAATTATTGTGTTAGGACTGACATCCAGCGAGAAGGAAGGAAATATCAAAGACTTCCCGTCAAAATACCCAGAGCAAAAGGTTTGTTCACGAACAGCTGACGAGAAGGAAATTATATTCTTTGTTCGTTCAGAATCACTCGTTATTGTTGTGGTTGCTGGTTGTGACATAAAAGAGCAAATAAATTGCATCTCAAACTGTGTTATAGTTAACAAAATGGAAAAATAATTGTCATTATTATTCGAGTTATAATTAACTCAAACTCGTTCACATACACAGACATTTCACAAAATATTCCATCATGATTTCCCGTTTACATAGTGGCTAACACGCACGCAACGATTATCACACCAAAAAATATGACGAACAAATGAATATTTTTTCCGAGATACTCAGAAACAAGCTATCGCTAAAACCATATTTTGACAATGATTGCTTGTTTGATTGTTGTTCAACATGTTTAACACTGCAGTCATCAATATTCCAGCAATATGACACTGTTGACAGTGGTCTGTACGTAATCAGTCTGAACCCAATCTCAATAAAATCAGATCTTAGTTCTCGCTGCAGCTAAACAAAGATCTGAGGACATCCCATAACGGGTCACGTCAGACCAACCTTTTGCAAACTCTGACCGACCAGTTGAATTACTGACAAGAAGTCGACATTAGCCAATCAGAAGGCAGCTTTCTCGTGCTTTACAGCACTAATTTCAAATTGGCGATACGCCTCGAAACACATTTTGACAAATTCTCGCTTAAAAATGTGAAACCTGAACAAAAGATCATTCTTGAACAGCTAATATATGGTTTAGATTGTATAGATTCAGTCGTTAAGCCCTTACTATCGTTCGGAATACACTGTTTTAAAGTTTTCGAGGTTGCATGATTAGAAATCACATTCTGACTGTCACTTTCAAGATCTGGTAAATGACGCTCTGATTGTTTGGATAAAAGGTCGTTCTGACGTGACTCCTAATGGGATGTCCTCAGATCTTTGTTTAGCGGTAGCGAGAACTAAGATCTGATTTTAATGAGATTGGTCTGAACCAGACAATCCATTTTCTATCGCACTGAAATTCTCTGTGCAGAGTTGCGTCCCTTGGGAACACAAGAAACCTATGCTCATTGGTTTGAATCCTTGTTTGCCCTGATTATGTTTCTAGGTTTGTCAGCACCATACCCATACAGTTGGTTTCACCAAAGTGGTAAGCATCTGAGACCTGCATCAATTCGGGATTTCCTTCGACATTAAGCTAACACTCCATGATATAACTGAAGGCTGTGGCAAACCCAAGTTACTCACTCACTCACTCACTTACGTACAACATGCATGAACTTTGTGCGAACCAACCATTGCCTGGCAGTAAGGCAACTTGCAGCGCACAATATCAAACGAGAAACGTTGCCCATTTATGCAATGTAAACTGAGGACACATTGGTGAACTTTGTGTGAACCAACCATTGCCTGACGGTAAGGCAACTTGCAGCGCACGATATCAAGCGAGAAACGTTGCCCATTTAAGCAATGTAAACTGAGGACACAGTGGTGTGAGTAATCACTGTTTTCGCTTTTGCTGAAACAGATTGCCTCTGTATTTGTTGATTTATTAATACAGAGCTCCAGATAAGCTGCGTATCTGCGTGAAATACTCATCAGAAATGGAGAAATACACAGTAAAATATAATCCAAGCGTATCAAGTACGCAACGAACATTACAGATACGCTACAAAAATAAAACTTGTGCGTATCATCAAAATATTGTGAAGTAACCCTGCGTATTCGATTAGCAAATCAGCAACATATTTTGAAATTATAAAGGGGCATTCCGTCAACCTTGCCAAACTCCACATGACAGTTACATCATGATCATTTGCCATCACACTTTCTTGTGGAAGTATCGTGGTATGTTTGAGTCCTATAAAGCTCTCGAAACCCACACGACACCAGTTTGCAGGGACTAGATGAATAGTGTCTTTAAATATTTAACTTAAATACCCACATGTGTAAAAACTAGTGGGTAACAGAAATTTGAATACGCAGGCAGAATTACTGATACCCAATGATTTTAAAATGCATGGGTAAAACACCCACAACACCAAAAGCTTATCTGGAGCTCTGTTAATAGCATCTACATTGCAAAGTGGACATATTTGTTTGTTTGTTGTTTAACGCCGCACTAAGCAATATTCCAGCTATTATGATAGCGGTCTGTTAATAATCGAGTCTGGACCAGACAATCCAGTGATTAACATAATGAGCATCAATCTTCGCAACTGGGATACGATTTGATGGATCAACCAAGTCAGCAAGTCTGACCACGCGATCCCCTTAGTCGCCTCTTACGACAAGCACAGTCGCCTTTTTACGACAAGTATGAGTGGCTGAACTCCTATTCTACCCCGGATCTTCACGGGTCAGTAGACATATGTTTTCATGGGTGATGAAGGAATATTGTACATACCTGTGAAGCCCGCGAGGATTCCAGGTAAGACTTGTGATCCCCAGCAACCTATGCTTTTCGTAAGAGGCAACTATACTTTTTGTAAGAGGCGACTTAATTGATTGGGTGGTCTGGTTTGGTGACTCGGTTGATGCATGTCATCTATCCAAATTGCATCTATCGATCTTCATGATGTCAATCACTGGATTGTCTGATCCAGACATGCCTATTTACAGACTGGCGTCATTTTGCTGAAATATTGCTGAGTGCGGCATTAAACAACACAAAAAAACAAACAAACCTGTGAAGTATTGACAATGAATCTGTGTAATGATTATGTTAATTATGGTAATGTTTGAATGTTATTAGAACAATCACTGCATCTAAGGCCCACCAAAATAGTATTGTGTCTGCTTGTCCCAGCCCACATTATTCTCAACCTCCAGTCAGGCCTTTGTCATTTTCCTGATTTTTAACTTAGGGTAGGTAACTCTAACCTGCTTTTAATTAAATGAAAGTCAAATGTTGCACTCCGTAATAGTCTGGCGATGTGATGGCAGCCAGTATCCAGTGATTGATACCGCAAACACCATCAGGTTACGATGTCACGCTATCGACCAAGCCCAACCACACAATCCATTTGTTCACCTCCCAGGAAAAGCGTAGGCTTACTGGAATCCTCACAGTTGGTTTGGCTTATAAATAAAGACTTGAGGTACAAACTGCACATGGCGTACAATGCATGTCTTGCATCTGCAGATTGTGAGTGCATGTTGAGAGAGATCAAGAGGCTGAAAGGCCTTTTGAGATTGTCAAGTTCAGTTTAGATATCACTCTACCCAACTTTTATGAATCGCTGCAAAAAGGAGTTAATTTTTTCTGACAAGAATGTACCGCTTGGAATAGTGTTGGTGAATCATGCAATATAAAACAAAAAATGGGGGCATGGGTGGCCCAGTTGTCTAAGGCGCCGCAATTCTCTGTGCAGCTGACACGCCGTGATATGACTTTAATACTGTTAAAAGCAGCATTAAACCCAACTCACTCACACACACAATATAAAAATAGAAGCTGCATCATCGGATCATTTTAGGCTGAACCAAAAGAGCAGAAACATAAAATACTGCGCTCTGCTTATTTCTTTGAACACTGTAGTCTGTATCCCAGGGTAGTAGGCCGTTGACTTATCCCACAGATGACATCCTTGCCTTGGCTGAAGGTCCCTGGTTCCAATACCAGCACTGTACTCACTTACATTGATTCTCAACTTGGGGCTGAGCACGTTCATATTGTTTGAGCAAAACAAGACTCTGTGCCCTTCTGTGTGGCCTTTAGTAGATGAGTCTGTAGCAGGGTATGGAATGGTCCTGCAGATGACATCCTTTCCTTGACAGCTTGCTGATTGGGTTTAACATTTTGGTCCTGTGGACAAGGCATCCGAATTTGCATCAGAAGTCAAAACCCAGCACTGAACTCTGATATTTCGAAAGCTACACTGGTGCAAAATGTGGGTCCGAGCATGTCCATATTAAATTTGAGTCAAATAGGGCATAGTACCCTACAATGCAGCACTGTACCTGCCTTCTGGGGGGGTGTATCTAGTTGGGCATGTAGTCGTCCTGTAGATGAAGTCCTTTCCTTGTCAGCTTGCTGACGGGGTTAACTTCTGATGTCTTGTAGACAAGGCATCCTACCATGAGAATTTGATGGCATCTACCCTGGTTCCTAATATGGGACGGAGCATGTTCCTGTTAAATTTGAGCAGTATATGTCTCAGTTGTCTACTCTGCATGCCTTCTGTTGAGGGAGCATGTTACAGTGCATGGAGTCATCCCTTTGGCTCTGGACATCACAGGACTCTGAAATGTATGCTTGCTACACCTGCTATTTTCATAATGTCCTTGATGATACTCAACATGTTCAACCTATATTGTTTTCAATTTTTTCAATTTGTTTTCACATTCTGATCCCCCCATGAAGATCTGGGGTAGAATAGATCTTTAGTAACCAATGCTTCTCCACCTGTGAAGATCCGGGGAAGAATTGGTCTTCAGCAACCCATGCTTTTGCAATGTCGATAAACAGATTTGCAGGTGCTACTGAGTTTTTGGTGCCCAGACTTTTTTTTACTTTCTAATTAGCCCAAAGCTTAAATATCTTATGCCTTTGTTTCCAAGTGAAATTTCTGTGCATTGTATACTTAATAACATTGCAAATCTGAAAATATGCTATATCTACAGATAAACCTCGTTATTCCGGACCTCGATCATTGAGAAACCCTAGCTAATGGACAATTTCTATTGGAAAGGCCTACATGTATGCAAAGGGACATTATTCTGTAACCATTATTCATTAATCCACGAGCACGGGTATGGTGCTGACAAACCTAGAAACCGGGATTCGAACCCACAATCATAGGTTGCTGGCGTGCCCAAGGGACGCAACTCTGCACAGTGAATTGCAGCGCCTTAGACGACTGGGCTAGTTTTTGGATAATTTTCCATAATATGTGTCACTTTAAAATACATGTATCATTTTGTATCCATTCATGACCTTTCCATAGGGGACCGCCTCCATGGTCTAGTGGTAGAGCATCTTCCCAGAGATCTGAAGGTCAAGGGTTTGATCCCCGGCCGCGATATTTCAAAGATGTTAAAAGTTGGTACTTGTTGTCACCCTGCCTGTCGCTCTGCATTAAGACTCTAAAACAAGGACTGGTTGGCTCGGAGTCAGTATACTGTGTCTGAGTGGGGTATTCATGTTAAACTGCAGCATGGTATCTCATTGGGCTAGCACTATAAAATCGTCATTAGTCCGAACTAGCACACACACACAAACACTTTTTGTATTTTCACCCATTGTACCTTTGTAAGGAATCATGTCTAGGTCCTGTTGAGGAGTGTGACGAGCAATTACTTTGATCACTAGGTTACCCCAGTGTTATTGAATGCTCCACGAAATGTCTGTCATTGAGGATTTCCAGACGTGAGTGATTGATGCCAGTTTGTATTGACAGACGGCTGAGAAGGAGCATTATGATGTCGCCATTGTTGGAGCCGGCCCGTCAGGATCAGTGTGTGGCTATTATCTGGGTGAGTATTTGTTCACTCTGAATGGACACCTAACCATGCCTTGTGTAACCCCTTTTAACCTGTATTCCTCTCGGAAACCCCTGGCGAAATGACAAATCTAGGGGAGATAACTCCTATGGTTAAACAATTCAACTGGAGTTACATCCCTTTTGTTTTTCATGTGACCTATGTTGTGTATGTAGCAGTCTGATTCAGTTATTAAGACTTAAGGTCAGATCTTTTACTCCCAGTATGATAGAGGTGCCAACCCCCTTTTGGTATGCCAGACAAGCCCTATTAAGTGGTATTCCAGATGCCACTGTGCAGTACACTGGATGCCATGAATGTTTGTCTGGTACACAGATGCCAATATTTCAATGGTGACACGTCAATAAAATGATGTACCAGCTGTGTACACTGATATGACTTACAGTGTGACAGATGCCTAGAGAGGTGAGATTGGCACCTCGTGACACAGCTCTGCGTGAAGATCTGGGGACACCCCAATAGGATACCTCAATGTGTGACCTGGCTGATAGTCTGTCTTACAATCCCTGATACAAATATATATCAAATACAGCCCATGCAAGTCTATAATGTTTGGCAAGTCTAGATTACTGCAGTATCTGAAAATGAAGAGAGTCACTGGGCTCCCTTTTATTATATTTTTATTAAGATATCTGAACAACTGTTTGTTCCTGTATGATATATTCATTTCAGAGACTAGACGTTAGTCTACCTGGCTGATTGTGGGTCATCGTACACTCATGGAGTGGCTAATTGCTCATTCTGTCAACTGACGATTTATCTAACTGGACTCATTATTTACAGGCCAGTGTAATGTAGGTGTGATTATGCTGGCTGAAGCACAAAACAGCATTCACTCAACTCGAAAGGGTGCACAGGAATCACACACGCACAAATACGGTGTTAGCGTTGGGCGTCTCAACGTGCGTGATTCCCGTGCACCCTGTTGAGTTGATTGGTTCAACTGTGTCATATGGCCCTGTGGCGCAGGGGTAGCATTATGCAGATGGTTGTTTCAATGAATGCTCGTTCCACCCGTGACGAACAGGTCTGGTTGTTTATTGATGAAATATAGTGATAGCTAAATAGACAGATTTTTTATTCATGCACTGATTGTCTTTAAATGTAATATCCAGTTATGTATGACTGTTTAACAATCTCATACCAACCTTGACTGGAGTAGGTCCAATAGTTTTTCAGATATTGTTGTAAACATGGTAAACGTCGGTACCTTAAATTACCTTCCAGACTATACGTCCCTTTGATTTGCCAGAAACCTATAAACATGAATTCAAATTCTAGATTCGCCTAATTATGTTTCCAGGTTTGTCAGCACCATTACCCATGCTCGTGGGGTTTTCCAAAGTGGTAAATGTTTTAGACCCATATCACCTCAGGCTTTCCTGCCCTAACACGTGTACTGGCATGAAGCGATGTAACTGGAATACTGGTCAGTGTGACACCAGCAGCTGTAGTAATTGTTATCCGATGTGTTGAATGTGCTTAATCAGTTCCATTTATTTTTAGGAAAAGCAGGATGGAAATGTCTCCTTTTAGAGAAGAAGAAATTTCCCAGAGACAAATATTGTGGGGATGCTGTGTGTAAGACTGGAATCGAGATCCTCATGGACATGGGAATATATGATCAGCTCATCAAACAGAACAAAGCTCATGTGGTGAGTTTTACAAATTACATGATAGGATTTCTTTTCATTTTGGGTTCACCTTTACAGGCCTCAAAGTTGCGACTAAAACGGTCGCCACTGCGACTTAAATTTCAGTTTGTCTACTGTCTAAAATTCAGAGGTAGCCAAATGACTACCTAGAAAAATATCTTGTGGAAACTAAATTCTATTGCTCCACATCTGTAGATACAAAAATAAATAACAGCTGATATTGGAAAACACGTCTGCTGATAATTGTACATGTACTCGCAAATAATTCCTTCTAAAGTCAACAATGAACCAAAATACATAAAAATTAATGTAATTAGTACTTTATTTTAGTTGGCAATGCCCATTTGATGAGCGAGGATATACCTATATAATCTAGTAACATAAACTGTATCATTGTTCAAGTCACAAGTAACAAAATTCAAGTTCAGTTTCAATAAAGATACAATTTCAAGACTAGTGCTGTAACTTGTACATATTATAATAGTTATTTGATAAAGATAATTTCAAATGCTTTTGGCTACCTACAATATTGGCTTGACTTCTTGATTTTACCACTGGCTTCCTGGAAAGAAATACTTGTAGCCATATGGCTACTTGGTAAAAATTTAAACTTTGAGGCCTGCTTGATTTAAGCTTGTGTGACACCTTTTTGACTGTGATCTGGAATCCATCACCGTCCATCCATTAGCACTATAAACTCTCAAACTACTGAACATGTCAATATGAGTGTCACAGAACATGTTCTAAGTAGAATTTTCATTTTGATAAATTCAAAGTTGCCACCTCGTTTTAGTAAATAATCTTTTATCATCACTCCGATCTCTTCTCCTCAGGAACCATTTGACACACCATATTCACCGTATTACGGTTTAAGCTTATATATATGCGCCCTAGAGTGGTATTTACTGTAAATCTATAACAGGAAATAAATGCAGAAAAAGCGATTGGTCTTCACTCGCATTAATTAACTTTGCATTAATGTGGAAATACCAACTTGAATATAAACACAAACACAGTTTATTGAGCAGCAGTTGTAACAAGTATATAACAATGTCATTCAAAGAATAGGAATTACACAATGTGCATCCTGTGAGTTATCACTGCTGGGGTCAAGAGTTCTACCCACTCGTGTCAAGCTTGTTGACACCTTCTACACATACAAATCAGTGAACTTTTTTGGTTCAATTATTTTATTTCCTTTGAACTACCTTCAGGCCAGTCAACCGAGTTTACATATATACTGTGTGTTGTGTTTGAGTCGCATTGATATTGAGTCGCATTTTTGGCTAGGGGTCAGCAGTCGCATTAATTCGGAGACGCATTAATTTTCAGATTTACAGTATATTATTATTATACAATGAGGAGAATATCTTAGTGTATCAGTATCTATACAATAATACTAAGGCTACAGGGAGTATTTAAGCCTATTTTTACTTTCAAGTAACTAATGCTGCTAAGGGCTCTATAAATTTAGCATTACAAATGCGGCCTGATCAATGGGCAACAACAGAAAGAAAAAAGATTTATAACTAACACAAAAAAAAGCGATGGTTGCATCAAGGTCAAGGGTATTTATCCTGATATGTTTTTGTATTTGTTGTTTAATGCCGCACTCAGCAATATTTCACGTATAAGACAGCCTGTAAACAATCGAGTCTGGACCCGACAATCCAGTGAATACCCCGAACTACGACACACTATCAATCAACTCACTGAGTCTGACCACCCGATCCCTTTGGTCTCCTCTTACCATCAGGTTGCTGGAGACCTATTCCAACACGGAACCTCCTCGGGGTTTATTTTAGAATGGAAATATGATACCATTGATATTCAAGGAGGATATAGTAAGCCATTCTTGGATTTCCTCAACCCACTTTTCCCTGGACCTTGTCAGCATCTTTAGGACTATCAAGCAAACAAACCTACATCATCCGAAATCTTGGCTGTGTTGTCCAGAAAAACAACCTCATTTATGAATAGTATGAATAAAACCAATTATTGACAGGAGCAGATGTTTTCAGATTATCAAACATATATACAACTGCGAGTATTAGTTTGTAGGCGTTTAGTAATTAGATGTCATCATCATCATCATCATCATCATCATCATAAGGAGTGTTATGGATAATACATTTTTTATTAACAAATTATTATTTATACAAATGAAGCCATTTATTATTAGTTGCATAGAAATGAAGCTGTGTTCCCAATGGCTGGCTTTAGAAAGTGCCAGTCCCGGTGGAATGGCAACTCTTAAAATGACCAGTCTCCCCCCAATTTTTGTTACCATATTTTCTTGAGTATGGTGTGCACTTTCTTTCCAAAATACACAGCTGTGTAGAAGGGGGTGCGCATTATACACGCCATAATGAGTTCTGATGTTTTCTCCCAAAATGGAAAGACATTATGTAACACTGGAAATACCATGTCAACAAATCCATACTGACGTACGCAAATTAATCATGTAATTACACTCTCTGGCTGTAAAAAGTGTTTTTTGTAGTCTCAACGTGAACAAATAAAAAAACATATGGAAATTACCTGGTTTTAATTCTTTCAACATCATGTTCAATGCAGAGTACATTCATGGCTGACAAGTTCAGTGACGTCATATCTGAAGTAACTAAGTTAGATCTACTTGCATCATGTACAAGTCATTCACAAAAATATCAGTCACAATGTTCCCCTTTTTTTTCTCAAAATATTTTACTTTGGTTCGAGACTAAGTAACGACAAATAATTTATTTATTTTTAAACCATGAAGGCAAGCAAAATGTAATTTCCTGCCCCAAAAATAGACTATAGCAAACCTTGATTATAACAGACCAGCTGGCATCTTTCGAAAAATATAATTTATTGATTATCACCGATGTTTTGTTCAAAAACAAAGATTTATAAGGTACTATTTGCCGGTCCACAGGGTCTGTCAGTCACATGAATTATCGGTTAAAAATAGGTAATTACTGTTAAACAGGAACACTGGTGGCCCCAATTGTGACAAGACTGATGTTATATAATTAAGAGGGAATTACAAAATTAAAATTAGAATAAATAATAAACAACATGAATAAGTGTTGCCCCGATACATCATTGAATTAATGCAGGGCTTAAACTGGATTTAACTTGCACTAGGTGCATATTAACATAAAACCTAGTTGCACCAGACAAAACCAGGTTGCACCCTGGTGCCATAAATTTATCAAAGTTGAAACATAGGCTGGTCTGCTACCTGTGTCACGTACATTAATGATGTATTGCTGTTTAATGTTATAGGAGGGGGCACGGGTGGCCCAGTCGTCTAAGGCGCCGTGATTCGCTGTACAGAGTTGCGACCCTTGGGCACGCCCCAAACCTATGATTGTGGGTTCGAATCACGGTTCGCCCTGATTATGTTTCTAGGTTTGTCAGCACCATACCCATGCTCGTTGGTTTCACCGAAGTGGTAAATGTCTGAGACCTTCATCACCTTGGGCTTTCCTCCCACGATATAGCTGTAATACTGTTAAAAGTGGCATTAAACCCAACTCACTCACTCACTAATGTTATCGGAACATGTGCTTATAATATTGAAGTGTCCGCATTTTGATGACGTCAACCCCAAGATAGCATGACAAATTACACATAACACAGGGATAAGTGATATAATATGCTATATACAGCGTGGAAGTATTGTGTTCAAAGATCGATGTTGTGTGAACAGTAAATGGTTAGTCAGACACATATTAATTTTTTAACATGCACTTGGTGCATGTAGACATAAATATGACGTTGCAATTTTCAATAATAGGTTGCACCGGTGCATGTTTTATATAGCTTAATAGAGCACTGGTATTGTCTGCTTGAAATCACATTATGGTGTAAGGGATTTTTCTGGGATTCCAGATAAATTGTCTTTGGCAGACAAATATTGTTATTTTGTTCCAAATTGTGATTTTTTTTAAATTCCTATTTTCCTTAATTGAGAGGTATTTTAACATTGAAGTTTAACATAGCATTCAATGCAATAATGTTAAACTAAGCAGTAAAGCCTCTTCCTCTATTTGGTCCTGTTCTCTGTGAAATACAAGTCACCTTACAAAGCTATAACTTTAGTTAAACAATATATCACGTGACTAAGCACAGGGTCGGGTAGTCCTGTGGGTACACAAGTCCTACTCAGGACCCACCCGACCCGAGTACCCAAGTTACCCGTCCCAGCCCTACTAGATATATACCTGGGTATTCATTTCTGGCTTTGTACCTCTTAGCATATTGACCAACGTTCTAAAAGCTTTAAACAAGAAATAAATTTATCTGACCTTAGACATATTATAAGGGGACTTCATTTCCTTTTAGTCATACAATGTTAGTTATAATCAGCAGAGGGTAAGTTTGTTTGGTGCAATGCTCCTTGCAACAGTATTTACGTTATTTCACGGCATGGCAGCTTGATGTAGCAGGAAATCCCAGAGTGATTCAGGCCTTTAACTATTACCACTAAGTAGAACTCATGTGTTGGTTAAGATGGTGACAAACCAAAAATAATAATCAGGGCGAATCTGAGATTCGAATCCATGATCATAGGATGCTGGTGTGTCTAAGGGAGACAACTCTTCACTGTGAATTGCAGCACCTTGGACTACTGGGCTACTTGAGGCCTTCCATCAACAAAGAAATGTATGATTCGAACCCACGTTCATAGGATTCTTCTACGGGACACAACTCCGCACTACGAATTGTTGTGCTTTAGGTGATTTGGCCACCTGTGTGCCTCCATCAGCACAGGAATAAATTTATATGATGTCCCTCTTTGGTTCCAGTCCGACAACGGAGGCATGTGCAGCCCTGGGGGGTTGAGCTTCATCGGGCGGAGTCAGGAGGGGTTCGGGCCTGTCCCCGCAGCTCTCGCGTGTAAGAGAATACACCTTGATGAGGCCATCGCCATGGCAGCAAAACGGTGAGTAAAATTAATAACATTAATTCTGCAGCGATAAAATCTCAAGAGTACTTTTATGTTTGTATGATATTGTTTTTGAGCCATTCAGTGAAGATCTGGGGTAGAATAGGTCTTCAGCAACCCAAGCTTGCCGTAAAAGGTGACTATGTTTGTCGTAAGAGGCGACTTACGGTAACGGGTGGTCAGACTCGCTGACTTGGTTGATGCATGTCATTGATCCCAATTGCGTCGATCGATGCTCATGGTGTCAATCACTGGATTATCTGGTCCAGCCTCGATTATTTACAGACCGCCGTCATATAGCTGGAATATTGCTGAATGCGGCGTTAAACAACAAACAAACAAACAAACAAACATTACTCTGGGTACAACACTCTTAAAGGGGTCATTTAGGACAGACCTATCTAATTACAGTTTATAACGAACAAGCTTATAACAAACTGACGGATATAACGAACTGTTTGTTTGGTCCTGGCCATTTGTTGTATATTTTATTATATAAAATTCATGGATATAACGAACATGCTTATAATGAAATAACGGATATTGCGAACTTAGTTTGTGGTCCCATATGTACTCGAAGTTTATAACTGAGCTGCTCACGTGTCACTAATCTGCCTATCAAAACATCCAGGGCCATGTGCAGCTGTTCAAAGAGTCAATAAACAATTGAAGGCATTTGATTTACTCTAAGTACTGACACCTTGTCCTCAAATTATGCACTCAATTACCAATAGTAACACAGTGATTAGGCTATGGCCTTTGAAGTGGATATATTCTGTGTATAAAATGTGAGGACTTGAGTGAGGTATTGATAAACTTACAATGGCAGACACAAGCAGAACAAAGAGTAACATGATGTGGTCACATGACTTGATCCAAGATGTCTGACAGTCGAAATGCTTATAATGAACTACGGATATAACGGACTAAAATTAGTGGTCCCTTTGAGTTCATTATTACTGTAGTTTACTGTACTTGTCTTACAGCCTGTAAGTTTTAGTCAAATTCCCCCCCAAAAGAATCTGGAAATAGGAATTAATAATGTCTATTTAGTGTTTATGTCACAAATTACAGTTACTTTGATATTTTGACAATTGTTTGTTTCCATGCTCAGTCCAGCAAAGATTTTACCTGAACTGAAATGATATGGTATTAAATTCTACCAAAAATCGAATGCCAAAAGGCTGTTGGATTGGGATTCTCCCCAGGGAGCAGTGAAAATATGCTGCTGAACATTTATTCTTGTGGTTGTGACAGGCATTAGAAAATATTCAATTCTAACCAGGGGAATTCTATGAAATAGCATTTGGAATTATCAGTAATTTTCCAAAGCACTCTCTCTATATGTGATATGTCACAGATCTCACAGATATGTATGACGTCACACTGAATGCAATGACTTCGATCCCAGGCCGCGTCACACCAAAAGATGTTAAAAAGATGGTACTTCTTGTTACCCTGTCTGGCGCTCGGCATTAAGGGGCTAAATCAAGGACTGGTCGGCTCAGAGTCAGTATACTGTGTCTGAGTGGGGTATTCAAGTTAAACTGGGGCATGGTATCTCAGTGAGCTAGCACTATAAATTGGCATCAGTCCGGACTAGTACAAGCAGCCACACAAACACAGACATGAACATGCACGTCGCTATATATGTGCAATAATCTTGGACGCGACATTAAACCCCATTTCACCTCACCTCACCTTGTCAAAATGAGTGAATGAGTGAGTTAAAATTTAACGTCACATCAGCATTATTTCAGCCATATCGTGACGAGAAGTACATTAATTCTCGAAAAAAAGAAAGAAAAAAAAAGTATTCATGTGAAGTGAGAAGTCTGAAAGCGTTCCATGATTCCATTTAGGGATATTTTTTGACAAATCAGTTTGCAGCAAACACACTCCGTCATTTTACAATGTTGGTTTCTTCAGGGCAGGAGCTGATTTGCGGGAGGAATGTTCTGTGGATGAAGCTATATTTGACAAGAACAAAGGACTATGGACTGTGACCTTGGACAATAGTGACACAAGGTTTACAGCCAGGGTAATCCTACCATTGTATAGTACTGTTATTGATTAACGAGTGAGTGAGTGGTTTAATCAGCATTTTCCCCTGTACCTGATATTGATTGGTACAAGATGGCTTGGACCAGTAAATTGAAGGGCTGTCGTTCCCAATGTCCAGTACTCTGTGTCCTCTGCCCAGTTTTTTTTATTTACTGACAGTTTATTCCGGAATCTGCAACAGTACAAGCCTAACTTGATTGGGCAACAGATATTGACAAACTAATTTTAAACTTTTATCCTCAGGCATATCTCTTAGCAAAAATAGGTCAAACAAAGGTAATTTAGTCCATTTTCCTAAATCAGGATAAAACTGAGATCCCAATGTGCCTACAGTAATTTCTCTAAGCAAACTAGGATGTAGGCACAATGGGATTTAGGCACAATGGGATTTAGGCACAATGGGATATAGGCACAATGGGATGTGGGCACAATGGGATGTAGGCACAATGGGATGTAGGCACAATGGGATTTAGGCACAATTGGGTGTAGGCACAGTGGGATGTAGGCACAATGGGATTTAGGCACAATGGGATTTAGGCACAATGGGATGTAGGCACAGTGGGATGTAGGCACAATGGGATTTAGGCACAATGGGATTTAGGCACAATGGGATGTAGGCACAATGGGACTGAACTGTAGAAATATGGTGTACTGTTTGACTTGTAACAGTTACGTGACTCCTATAGTAAGGATTCTATCAGTTTACCGAAGTGGTAGATCAGCAATATTACAGCTATAGGACAGTGGTCTGTAAATAATTGAAGCTGGATCTGACAAATCAGTAATTGACATCATGAACATCGAACACATCATTAGGCTACAATGACATGCATCAACCATGTCACCAATGCAATTGGTAGCATTTTGTTGGAACAAATTGAAACTATATTGGGATAATAATGTCTTTATTGTTTGTAACACTGTTTCAGAATGAATTGATTCTGAGTTCATCATAATGTCACTCACAAGCTGTAGGAATACTTTTTATTGGTATGATGAAATCTATGACATTTTATTTACAGTATTCGTCGTAATAAGCGCTCAGGGTGCTCTCAAAATTAGAAATAGGGGGCTCTTATTAGAATGTTATTTTGGTGGAAAAAACAGAGTTGAAAGATAAATTTCGTGGTTTATGCTGACAGCCTGAAATGTTTATGTACGACAGATATATTTTTCCAGAATTAAATGCCCATAATTAAGGGTGCATATAACACACGAGTGCATATTATACGCAAATAAATAAGTCTTGTGTACATTGATCATTTGGAAGGGGTGCTGATTGGGATTGTTCACTAGCCAATATCTTAGCAAATTTCACCGTGGGCGCTTATTAGAGCGGGGCGCTTATTACGTCGAATACGGTACTTTATTTTCTGATTTTATGAACATATTTGATAGGGCAGGGGATATTGATGACTTTGTCATCATAATCATTTATTATTGTTATTGTTGTACATTATTGTCATCGGCGTCATCATCATCATCATCATCATCATCATTATTATTATTATTATTATCATTATTATAGGTTGTAGTTGTTATTATCAACATTATAGGTGTTAGTTTGTGCTGATGGTGCACAGTCTCGCCTGGCAACCAAACTTGGGCTTGTGACGAGGCCTCCAGACAGCACATGCTCCAGATCCTACGTAGAGGGCGGCACACACAAGTTCAAGGCCGACGGTGTCATCTTCTACAACAAGACGCTGCTTCCAGGTAGAGCAAATGTTTTATACACTGTCCACTTACCCACATGTGTCATTCATATATCAAAGGCCTGGAGCGCCTTATTTCTGGTTGGCTTTTCATTTATTTTTTGTAAAAGTCACATTTTAGGTTTTTTTGCGCAGATTCGTAACCCAGTTTTAAAAAAGTCTGGCCGCAAGTCGATATTGTGCCATGTCGTTCAAACAATAGAGTAACAGATTTTACCACTATAGTTGGCAGACCCACATTTCTTTTGAAAAAAGTGGGTAAATATAAAATATTTTACCTACTAATAACCAATAATTTAGACAATTTCCCAGCTAATGGATTAGCCCAGGCCGTGTGGTTGTGTTCGATGAACCAGCACATCAGGAACTGCTTCAGTGGCGGCCATTCATCATTTCATTTGATGTGTGCCAGCAAGATGTCAAGCATGCATCATTAAACATGGTGGACATTCTCAGTATTGACTGTCCACAGTATATCTGGGGCTAAGCGATTGATCGATTGTTGTTTTGACCCCTCAGTCAACAATATTCCAGGAGTATTGGCTGGTAAATAATCAAGTCTGGGTTTTTTATTCCACTAACCAGAAATAAGTAAGATGTCAAAAAGCAAACTCATTTACTGTCACTATCAATATTAATAGATTGTTTGAAATATATACCGGTAATTGAAACCAGTTCAAAATTTATCTCAGGCTTTAAAAAATAAAAGAATTGGTTCTCAGGCAATGGTTTTTGAAAATATAGTGTGGGCGGTGTGTTTTTTGTCTTTTTGTTTGTTTGTTCAAACTAGTATGTAACCAATAAACAGTTTTGTAATCAATAAACAATTGTGTACACACTGGTACAATCAAACTGGGAAAGGGCCTCCCTACATAATTGTATTCCTTGATGAGAAAAATACTGGAATACAGTATTTGACTACCATTGGACTTGGAATATTTAAGGATATTTTTATTTATTTTTTAAATTGAAATATTATAAAAACGTGCGGCAAAGTTTATGATGATGCGGGAAATGCCTGAGAACCAAGACTATTAATTTTTTAGCCTTAAAAACCTCAAAACAAGACGACCAATGATGAATGCCCATTCCTCACACCCCACCTTTTTTCCTACCTGCTTATATATTAATTTGTATGTGTATAAATATTTGAAAAATGAATTTTCTTATTTATTTTTTTCAACTTTCCGACCTGAGTTTTTAGGCCCAAAATCAAAAACAAAAAATATCTTAAATATAAGTCTGACCTAAAGTAGCCTGAAATATAGATTACGGTAAAATTCCTTTTTATTTGGTCCAAATAGACAAATGATCCATTTATTGTATATATTTTTTAACTCAAGTTCACAATATTTACAACTTCACGTCTGGATCAGAGGCCAGTCTTATGATTCCCAAATTTTGTGTATGAACTGGACACAAGGTATTGCATTCTATACTCATGCACATTGAGAATGGATGCAAAGATTTTATCTTCTTAGGGGATAAAGAAAATATTGTTGTTTGAATCATTAAAACTAACCAAGTTGTAGACCGCATATAACTGACATATTTGACTGGTGAGAAATACACTCAAAGCTCTGAGAATCAGGGGTTGATTTTCTCAACTGATTGTTTTCAGTATTTTTTAGTTTCATGGCCAATAGTATATTTTTTGTTATAGTTTTGTTTTATGTGTGTCGCATTATGCACCAATAAATACTTGAAGTAACATTCTATGTTGCTTTCCTAAAAGATAAATGGCGCTGACCTTATTTTATCCTGTGATCACGTTTTGAGTTACATCATCATGGGCTGATGTCACAATGCCACAAATTACCTCCCCTGGGATATAACGTATCCTTGGAAACGGCATTCTTTAATTACTGTCAAGCAAGATGAGTTACGTCATTATCGGCTGATGTCATGACGCTGTTCAAATTACCTCCCCGTGATCTAACTATCCTTGGTAACATCATTCCTTAATTGCTGTCAGGCAAGATGGCATATCCTTCCATATAGTTTCTTTAAATTTGTTGAATAATTGACTGTTATTACTTGTCAAGAAATACTGCAAAATGATGTCAAACGCCTCTCATTCCACGGGTATTTTCCAAACATATTCAAACCACTGTGTCCGTGCAAGAGGGGCCACAAAGATGTATGACGGGGGCATTGATTCCCTAGGAATTATGTCCGTCTCTGAAAAGTAATCCTTGTAAAACTCCATGTACACCTGTTGCTCAGTGTAGAGCATTTAGCAACATACCTCAGTCAAACAAAACAACCGCTGTTGCTCTTCTTCCACCATGTTCGGCCCATCTCGACACCATATCAGCCCCCTGGCTGTCGATTCAAATCTTCTGAGGTATCACGTGGTGCAACCAACTATTTCATGGCTTGCAGTTGCTGCAGTCTGCTGATACTAGTGATGCAAACAAAGTTGCAACTTTTTTTACCAAAAACACATCACATCAACTCAGGATTACCAGCGACACTGAACTTGGGCTGTGTTTACATGTGTTAGCTCGGTCCCACAATGCAGTTGTGGAATGTTTCAAGAAACGAGTGAGTGAGTGAGTGAGTTGGGTTTAACAACGCTTTTAACAGTAATCCAGTTATATCGCGGCGTGTCAGCTTAATGTGGGAGGAAAGCCCGAAGTGATGCAGGTCTTAGACGTTCACCAGTTCGGTGAAACCCACGAGCACGGGTATGGTGCTGACAAACCTAGAAACATAACTGGGGCGAAACGGGATTTGAACCGTCAATCATAGGTTTCTGGCGTGCCCAAGGGACGCAGCTCTGCGCAGCGAATCACGGCGCTCTAGACGACTTGGCCACCTGTGCCCCATTTGAGCCACGAGCTAGTGAAGCAAATAATTTTAACAACTTAAATTTAAATCCTTATTGCTGCAATGGGTTATGGATAATCACAGACTGAACAAATAATATATTTGTCACTAAGTTAAACCATAAACTACCAATTTTACTGGTGTTTTATTTTTTATAACATACTTTGTCTCTTTACATATGGGTACAGGCAATTAGGTGGAACAGCTTGTTAGTTTGTCCTGTTTGAGGATTTTAATATTCAGGACCTGTTTATTACAGATTTCTTTTTAAAACCATCTCTAATAAACACAAGGTTAGTCTTAAATTCATCATCTTAGAAAAAGTAATAAAGTTTTAAGTGTTTGGAGCATGAAGATAATGAGTGAGTGAGTGAGTGAGTATGGTTTTATGCCGCTTTTAGCAATATTCCAGCAATATCACGGCGGGGGACACCAGAAATGGGCTTCACACATTGTACCCATGAAGATAATGAAGAACTATAGCATACAAATAGTATGTACAGACAAGGTATACACTTTGAGCTGTCTGAATGACATGTGATCCAAATCCCATGAGAAACCAAATATTGGCTAAAAAGATATTTCCCATCATTCCCAATATGAGTATGAGAGTTCTTTAGCGGTTACATCCAGATACAAGATTGTTTGTTTGTTTTCTAAGTCACATTCAGCAATATTCCAGCTGTATGTGACGGCGGTCTGTAAATCATCAAGTCTTAACCAGACAATCCAGTGATTGACATCATGAGCATCGATATACTCAAACAAGTCAGCGAGTCAGACCACCTGATCCTGTCCATCGCCTCTAATGACAAGCATGGGTTGCTTAAGACCAATTCTAACCTGGATCTACACGGAGACCAGACAAAAGAGCTTCTGATTTGACTGCCATTGTTAACACATAAATCCATGAATCTTTTCACATATGTATTTGAGGTGTCACCAGATTGTTCTGTCCAGGTTACTCGGCCTTGTTCCGCCACCCCAATGACGTCCTCAACTACTGCTGTTACATCATCCCCGGCAACCCCGAGGTGAAGGGCGAGGATCTGGCCCACTGGCATGAATGGCTCAAGACAAACGATCCAAACATCAAGAGAGCTCTCGGCCCCGACCACAAGATAGAGAGGATGAAAGCTGGTACGTTGTTCAGCCCATCGGACATTTCCACAACAGCCTCGACTGCCACCACACACAACAAACACCTCACAACAGCCTCTACGTCCAAGACACACCACAAACACCTCACAACAGCCTCTACTGCCAAGACACACCACAAACACCTCACAACAGCCTCTGCTGCCAAGACACACCACAAACACCTCAAAACAGCTTCTACTGCCAAGACACACCACAAACACCTCACAACAGCCTCTACTGCCAAGACACACCACAAACACCTCACAACAGCCTCTACAGCCAAGACACACCACAAACACCTCACAACAGCCTCTACTGCCAAGACACACCACAAACACCTCACAACAGCCTCTACTGCCACCACACACCACAAACACCTCACAACAGCTTCTACTGCCAAGACACACCACAAACACCTCACAACAGCCTCTACTGCCAAGACACACCACAAACACCTCATAACAGCCTCGACTGCCACCACACACCACAAACACCTCACAACAGCCTCTACTGCCAAGACACACCACAAACACCTCACAACAGCCTCTACTGCGACCACACACCCCAAACACCTCACAACAGCCTCTACTGCCACCACACACCACAAACACCTCACAACAGCCTCGACTGCCAAGACACACCACAAACACCTCACAACAGCCTCGACTGCCACCACACACCACAAACACCTCACAACAGCCTCTACTGCCAAGACACACCACAAACACCTCACAACAGCCTCTACTGCCACCACACACCACAAACACCTCACACCAGCCTGGACTGCCACCACACACCACAAACACCTCACAACAGCCTCGACTGCCAAGACACACCACAAACACCTCACAACAGCCTCTACTGCCACCACACACCCCAAACACCTCACAACAGCCTCTACTGCCACCACACACCACAAACACCTCACAACAGCCTCTACTGCCACCACACACCACAAACACCTCACAACAGCCTCTACTGCCAAGACACACCACAAACACCTCACAACAGCCTCTACTGCCAAGACACACCACAAACACCTCACAACAGCCTCTACTGCCACCACACACCACAAACACCTCACAACAGCCTCTACTGCCACCACACACCACAAACACCTCACAACAGCCTCTACTGCCAAGACACACCACACACACCTCACAACAGCCTCTACTGCCACCACACAACACAAACACCTCACAACAGCCTCTACTGCCACCACACACCACAAACACCTCACAACAGCCTCTACTGCCAAGACACACCCAAAACACCTCACAACAGCCTCTACTGCCACCACACACCACAAACACCTCACAACAGCCTGGACTGCCAAGACACACCACAAACACCTCACAACAGCCTAGACTGCCACCACACACCACAAACACCTCACAACAGCCTCTACTGCCACCACACACCACAAACACCTCACAACAGCCTCTACTGCCACCACACACCACAAACACCTCACAACAGCCTCTACTGCCACCACACACCACAAACACCTCACAACAGCCTGAACTGCCACCACACACCACAAACACCTCACAACAGCCTCTACTGCCACCACACACCACAAACACCTCACAACAGCCTCTACTGCCACCACACACCACAAACACCTCACAACAGCCTCTACTGCCACCACACACCACAAACACCTCACAACAGCCTCTACTGCCACCACACACCACAAACACCTCACAACAGCCTCTACTGCCACCACACACCACACACACCTCACAACAGCCTCTACTGCCACCACACAACACAAACACCTCACAACAGCCTCTACTGCCACCACACACCACAAACACCTCACAACAGCCTGAACTGCCAAGACACACCACAAACACCTCACGACATCCTCTACTGCCACCACACACCACAAACACCTCACAACAGCCTCTACTGCCACCACACACCACAAACACCTCACAACAGCCTGAACTGCCAAGACACACCACAAACACCTCACGACATCCTCTACTGCCACCACACACCACAAACACCTCACGACATCCTCTACTGCCACCACACACCACAAACACCTCACAACAGCCTCTACTGCCACCACACACCACAAACACCTCACAACAGCCTCTACTGCCACCACACACCACAAACACCTCACAACAGCCTCTACTGCCACCACACACCACAAACACCTCACAACAGCCTCTACTGCCAAGACACACCCAAAACACCTCACAACAGCCTCTACTGCCACCACACACCACAAACACCTCACAACAGCCTGGACTGCCAAGACACACCACAAACACCTCACAACAGCCTCGACTGCCACCACACACCACAAACACCTCACAACAGCCTCTACTGCCACCACACACCACAAACACCTCACAACAGCCTCTACTGCCACCACACACCACAAACACCTCACAACAGCCTCTACTGCCACCACACACCACAAACACCTCACAACAGCCTCTACTGCCACCACACACCACAAACACCTCACAACAGCCTCTACTGCCAAGACACACCACAAACACCTCACAACAGCCTGGACTGCCACCACACACCACAAACACCTCACAACAGCCTCTACTGCCAAGACACACCACAAACACCTCACAACAGCCTGGACTGCCACCACCCACCACAGCTCTAACACAGACTTACAATAATTGTAGTTTTACGATCAAATGTGTGGAGCCAATTTTTGGTGTCCTCGGCCATAAAAGTGCTGGAATATTGTTAAAGACGTTGGAAAACCATACTCACTCAAAACAAAATCTTGAACTGATTTCTGTCAACAGCAAGTCTACGTATTGGGGGAGAGAAAGTGTCGTATGGAGATCATGTGATAGTCATCGGTGATGCTGCTGGAATGATTGACCCGATGACAGGTATGTTGTCTTTGTCATATTATGATGTTATATGTGCATCTTTAAAAATGTCAAACCCCTGATAGTTGTTTTATCTTTCTTAGGATTTTTATCACATGGTCTTTCATGTTAGATATGACATCCTGTCAAGATGTGGGATTTACTTATAAAATGTGACATTATTTGACAATAAGGGAGACTTACTGACAAGACAAGATACTTACTGGCAAGATGTGACTTGCACTGACAAGATGGGACATTCAATGACAAGATACCCGTGAAGATTCCGGGGTAGAATAGGTCTTCAGCAACCCATGCTTGCCGTAAAAGGTGACTATGCTTGTCGTAAAAGGCGACTTACGGGATCGGGGGGTCAGGCTCGCTGACTTGGTTAATGCATGTCATCGATCCCAATTCCATGGATCGATGGTCATGATATTAATCACTGGATTGTCTGGTCCAGACTCGATTATTTACAGACCGCCGCCATTTAGCTGTAATATTGCTGATCGCCACGTTAAACAACAAACCAACCAACCACTGACAAGATAGGACATTCACTGACAAGATGTGCTATTCACTGACAAGATAGGACATTCACTGACAAGATGTGCTATTCACTGACAAGATGGGACATTTGCTGACAAGATGGGACATTCACTGACAAGATTGGACATTCACTGACAAGATGTGACCTGTACTGACAAGATGTGCTATTCACTGATAAGTTGGGACATTTGCTGACAACATGTGCTATTCACTGACAAGAGGGGACATTCACTGACAAGATAGGACATTCACTGACAAGATGGGACATTCACTGACAAGATGGGACATTCACTGACAAGATGGGACATTCACTGACAATATGGGACATTCACTGACAATATGGGACATTCACTGACAATATGGGACATTCCAATTACACACCACCAAGTTCCAAGCTCTGCCATGTACTACAGGAGAGGGCATCCATCACGCAATGGAGGCAGGTCAGATTGCAGCACAGTTCCTGCAGGAGGTACTACTGCATGGTAATTATGACAGCGATGTGATGAAGATCTTCCACCAGAGATGGATGAGCAAGTTTGGCTATGACTTCTGGTGGTGAGTATTTTATAACCCACTGGCATATCCATATACCTGGGTGGAGAGTGTTTCATAAACCACTGACATATCCATACACCAGAATGGAGAGTGTTTCATAAACCACTGACATATCCATATACCTGGGTGGAGAGTGTTTCATAAACCACTGACATATCCATACACCAGAATGGAGAGTATTTTATAACCCACTGGCATATCCATATACCTGGGTGGAGAGTGTTTCATAAACCACTGACATATCCATACACCAGAATGGAGAGTGTTTCATAAACCACTGGCATATCCATATACCTGGGTGGAGAGTGTTTCATAAACCACTGACATATCCATACACCAGAATGGAGAGTGTTTCATAAACCACTGACATATCCATACACCTGTTTGGAGAGTGTTTCATAAACCACTGACATATCCATACACCACAGTGGAGAGTGTTTCATAAACCACTGACATATCCATACACCTGTTTGGAGAGTGTTTCATAAACCACTGACATATCCATACACCAGAGTGGAGAGTGTTTCATAAACCACTGACATATCCATACACCTGTTTGGAGAGTGTTTCATAAACCACTGACATATCCATACACCAGAGTGGAGAGTGTTTCATAACCCACTGACATATCCATACACCAGAGTGGAGAGTGTTTCAAAAACCACTGACATATCCATACACAAGAGTGGAGAGTGTTTCATAAACCACTGACATATCAATACACCAGAGTTTAGAGTGTTTCATAAACCACTGACATATCCATACACCAGAATGGAGAGTGTTTCATAACCCACTGACATATCTATACAACAGAGTGGAGAGTGTTTCATAAACCACTGACATATCCATACACCAGAGTGGAGAGTGTTTCATAAACCACTGACATATCCATACACCAGAGTGGAGAGTGTTTCATAAACCACTGACATATCCATACACCTGTTTGGAGAGTGTTTCATAACCCACTGACATATCCATACACCAGAGTGGAGAGTGTTTCATAAACCACTGACATATCCATACACAAGAGTGGTGAGTGTTTCATAAACCACTGACATATCCATACACCAGAGTGGAGAGTGTTTCATAAACCACTGACATATCCATACACCAGAGTGGAGAGTGTTTCATAACCCACTGACATATCTATACAACAGAGTGGAGAGTGTTTCATAACCCACTGACATATCTATACAACAGAGTGGAGAGTGTTTCATAAACCACTGACATATCCATACACCAGAGTGGAGAGTGTTTCATAAACCACTGACATATCCATACACCAGAGTGGAGAGTGTTTCATAACCCACTGACATATCTATACAACAGAGTGGAGAGTGTTTCATAACCCACTGACATTTTCATACACCAGAGTGGAGAGTGTTTCATAAACCATTGACATGATATCAATACTCCTGAATGCTTAAAACAACAGCTTGTGGCTTCACCAATCCCAAACCATATCAAGGATGAACTCCTTGTTGTGGAAAATGCAGGATCATCTTCTGACGGCCATATTGTTTTACAGGTCAATGATATTTGCACAGCTTGTATTCCGGTTTCCAATCCTGATTGATGCAGCAACAGCTGCTGTGAAGAGAAAAGGAGACAAGTTCCTTCTGAAATGGGCAGACATTATGACAGGTATGTGCTCTCTCGGAACAGTTTCATTAAGGAACTAACAACATGATAATCTGGGTGGAGGGGCGATTGGTTTTTTTTAAATTTAAAGGGGGGCGATTGTTTGTTGTTTTTTTCTGGAAAGAGGAGATAATTTCTTTTGACCTACACCACGATGTTTATCTGTGGTAAAATTATTTCTTTCTGGTACTTTCTGGGACAAATTATCATTTTCTTTTCTCCCTCTGAACATCAACTTTGACTATGTTTACCTTCTCACTCTCCTTTCCCCTTCTCTCTTTCTCAATCTGTTCCTTTTCCCTTTCTTAAGGGGGGCACAGATGGCCCAGTCGTCTAAGGCCACAATTGGCTGTGCAGAGTTGTATCCCTTGGGCAAGCCAGAAACCTATGATCGTGGGTTCGAATCCCAGTTCGCCCCGATGATGTTTCTAGGTTTGTCAGCACCATACCCGTGCTCATGGGTTTCACCTAAGTGGTAAATGTCTCAGACCTGCATCACCACTGGCTTTCCTCACACATTAAGCTGACATGCCGTGATATAACTTTAATAGGCATACTGTTAAAAGTGGCGTGAAACTCAACTCACTCACTTGTTTATGCGTGTTCTTCATCTTCCAAATGCAGGTCGCGTCCCGAAACTGCACATGCTGAAACCTGAGTTCACAATCGTCATCACGTACGAGCTAGTTCGACTCATCATAGGAAAGCTGTTCAGGTTTGGTGGAAAAGACAAGAAAGAAGAATAACTCAGGACAATTATACATTTTTTAAAAGAATATTCCATGTCTTGTTGAATCTATTTCGGCAGATAATCCTGACTGGTTATTCTCTTGAATTGACATTTTATATTTATTGTAAGATAGCATTTCAGCCAATGCAGCATTATCACAATTCTACGTTTTTAGGGGTTGGACGATTCACTGATACATTGATGCATCTTGATATGATGAATTTCAAGACAAATATTGTAACTTTGGATTATGTACTAATACATTGAGATTATTAGATATGTGTTTCAACTTGCCAATGCGATAAAAAACATATCCTACAGTGCCAAATTATTTGAAGTCATGTTTGTGTACAGATACCACCACACATAGAGAAACATCTAACTTTATTGGGAACGTGAGGAAAAAGTGTTTTGAGCAAGTAGACATTGCATCAGTCTTAAAAAAAGTAGTTCAAGATGACCTCATTTGTATATTTCTTGGATGGTGATACCAAGTTTATCAGTTTGGTTTATCATTTGATGATACTATCCATTTTGTGATGGATACCCCCTCATATTTATTGGTGTTCCTTGTAGCCCTATAGTGCTATGCTCGGTTAATTTTCAGTGCATCACACCATTGCCAATGCATGGGTTTGTCCCAAACTAAGAGCTCTCAGCAGGCAAATTGGGGGGAAATCATTATTTTGTTCAACATGCCTAATATTGGGATTTTTTAAAGTTCATATTGTCTTGAAGAGGTATTTTGGCCATCTCTTCTCAGAATTGTGATCAATTAAGTATTCTAAAACTAAGTATTAAAACCTCTTGCCCTTTATCATTGCCTCTTCAAGGTCATAACATTAGTTAGAACGATATTAACATGAATTAGGAAGGTTTTTAGTTTCAAATTTGGAATTTTTGCTGCCATTTCCTGGAGACATGGGGCCGATTATATCAGCCTCTGGGCAGGCCTGGATAAATCCCAGCATTGTCACAAAAGAATTGATTGTTGAGGGCACAGAATGCAGCAGCAGATTTGATATGTTTGTTTGTTTGTTTGTTTGTTTGTTTGTTTGTTTGTTTGTTTATCCAATGTTAAGGGTATGTGACAGGGGTCTGTAAGTCATCAGGTCTGGACCAAATGTCCAGTGATTGATATTATGTGCATTGATCCACACAATTGGGATACGATGACATGCATTAACCAAGTCAGTGAGCCTGACCACCCTATCCTGTTAGTCGCCTCTTACGACAAACATAGGATACGTTTTGTTTTGTGATGCATATCATGACTTTGTGTGTTGTCCCAACCCTGGAGTGTTTGTTAAATACCTACCCTGCTGATATCTATGTATATATGCACAGAACTAATGTGGTAAGTTATGAATTGTTGCTATTCTAGTCACCAAGCTGTTTTCTTAAGTGCATGCTGTCTTCAGCATCATGTCAGCTTCTGGAGTAAAACCGACTGAAAGTCAGATGAAGAGTTGTTGAGTACCCATCGTACTGATGCTTATTTCTTGTTTCTTTTGTTTGTTTGTTTGTTTGTTTGTTTGTTTGTTTGTTTGGTGTTGTACGCCGCACTCAGCAATATTCCAGCTATATGTTGGCGGTCTGTAAATAATCGAGTCTGGACCAGACAATCCAGTGATTGACATCATGAGCATCTTTCTACGCAATTGGGAGCCTGACCACACGATCCCGTTAGTCGCCAATTACAACAAGCGTCTTTTGCTGAAGACCTATTCTACCTGTTCTACAGTTCTTGTTTCTCGGCTTCTAGCTTTTAGAAGGTATACCGTTTGAGATTTTCCTCAATGTTGTATTTCAATATCACAGGCAAGGACAGGTAAACGTTAGTGTTAAGCTTCAGTCAAGAAATTATTGGCAGTTATAATTCCATCAGTAAGAATCAAATAAGTTTACTACTGCTGTGTGGTTATTGCGAAGAAGTTTTAACTAGTGGTTGGCCATGTTGATGTTGGTAGTTTGTTTTTGTTTGTTTTGTGAGTCTGTGTATGCACGTCCGATATTCACCATATTAAGCTTCACCCTCCAACGCCTCTGACAAACATTTCGACCAATCTGTAAGTAATTTTTATAAGCACCCAGCACAGAGCTCGGAAACTGACATGACAGTTGATATGTTGCAGATTTTTTGCAGAAAACATAGAAATGTGAAAATGTTTTCATTTGACCAATGTTTTCAACTATGTTTGAACTCTCTGACTCATCTATAGTTTTAATGAGTGTCCCTTTTGTCAACTTTCTAAGTACCCTTGGCACCCTCAGCGCTCAAGGCCAATACAGTATATCCATTGCACGGTAATGCCTCACTCAATACAACATAGTGCCTGACTAGTATGTTTTGTCCTGTGAAATTCATTTCTTGAATGTTTAATAAATAAACAACTGGAAATGAAATTGTAAACATACAGGACTAAACTAGGATGATTTGTACTTTGTTGTTATATCTGAAAGCATGAAATCAGATTCATATGTTAATAATCTGTGATTTCAATTTGAAAGAGCTGAACCTGGAAAATGTGAATGTTGAATGAACTACTAGAATTTCTTTTCTGTTGAAAAGGACAAAGGTCTCAATTTAGTCTGTGATTTGCATGTACCGTAGGTCAATGTTTCTGTGTGGTCCATGTCACATTCACTTCTTGTGGTGGCATGGTACAAGTTGAATTTGTTTTGCTTATATATTTTTTTATATAAAAAAAGTCTTCTGTCAGATTTTATAAAATATACAATAACTGCGCCCTGCCCGACTGTAGCTGTGACAGGTACTTCAGCACTGGTTGGATGTAGACTCCTGTCCTACGCGAGTACAAACCAGGAGAGGTAACTCATATCTTCACTTCTCCAACACAGGTCAGGGATTCATGTCCTATGTGAAGTACTTCAGTACCCAAGCTCAACACTGCCATAGCCCACTTCATGAAACTCTTTACTATACCAGGAGGGCAATGAAGGTGTCGCACGCTGTGAAGGAACTTGTTAAGAACTCGACCAAGGGAGATAACTCACATCTTCACTTTTCTAACAGTCAGGTTTAGAGGGACTCATGTCCAACATGAAGGACTTCAGTACCTAAGCTCCTCACATTGATAGCCTGTTCACAGAGCTCTCTATACCAGGAGGGCAGTGAAGGTGTGACACGCTGTGAAGGAACTTGTTGAGAACCCGACCAGGGGAAATAACTCACATCTTCACTTCTCCAACAGTCAGGTTAAGAGGGACTCATGTCCAACATGAAGGACTTCAGTACCTAAGCTCCTCACATTGATAGCCTGTTCACAGAGCTCTCTATACCAGGAGGGCAATGAAGGTGTGACAGGCTGTGAAGGAACTTGTTGAGAACCCGACCAGGGGAGATAACTCACATCTTCACTTCTCCAACAGTCAGGTTTAGAGGGACTCATGTCCAACATGAAGGACTTCAGTACCTAAGCTCCTCACATTGATAGCCTGTTCACAGAGCTCTCTATACCAGGAGGGCATTGAAGGTGTGACAGGCTGTGAAGGAACTTGTTGAGAACCTGACCAGGGGAGATAGCTCACATCTTCACTTCTCCAACAGTCAGGTTTAGAGGGATTCATGTCCAACATGAAGGACTTCAGTACCTAAGCTCCTCACATTGATAGCCTGTTCACAGAGCTCTCTATACCAGGAGGGCAGTGAAGGTGTGACAGGCTGTGAAGGAACTTGTTGAGAACCCGACCAGGGGAGATAGCTCACATCTTCACTTCTCCAACATGAAGGACTTCAGTACCTAAGCTCCTCACATTGATAGCCTGTTCACAGAGCTCTCTATACCAGGAGGGCAATGAAGGCATCACACGCTGTGAAGGAACTTGAGAACCCGACCAGGGGAGATAACTGACACCTTTGCTTCAAATACTCAAGTCCATTTATTTCTACCCGTCAGGACCTTGGCTTGACTACATTATTATTTGTCAATGATTTTTATCACTATGGTGACAAAATAAAGAATTGATGTTATTAGAGATTTCAGGCATTAGCTTTCGTCTGCAGTGGATCTGCAGATTTCCAAGGATATATGAAGTCTTGATGTCTTGTTTAGTGACACTAGTATTAGGAACTTATATTTTTATCAGTTTACAAGATTATTTTTCTCAAAACCTCTAGTCAGTGGCAGAAAGTCAAAATCAAATTATACACATCAAATAATTTTTTTCAGAAGATCGGTTCAGTTGGACAACCAAGAAAATTGTGTCATTTTCATATTTTTCATCTCATTTTAGTGCTACAGGGTTTACATGAGAACAAAGTCACATTGCCTGGAGTACTAGAGATGCTATGAATCATATCCAATGCGGCTTCCTGTCATGTTTGAGCCAATATTTACAGGTCATTAAGCATGTATCACTTGTCTTGATCCAACAGAAACGATTTGCGATTATATTTTCCGTCAGAGGAGTTATCAAATGAAACTTATTTCTTTCAACATTCCTGATTTTTGTGTTTGCCAGACCCGTAAACAAGTAATATAAGCAAATATTGTTTTGAGTCAACAATATGACAATGTGAGCAACCATCCATGTCTTCATGTACAACACACAATGTGAGGTCACACAATGAAATAACCTTGACCCTGTTACACAAAGCAATCTTAGTCCCAGGACTCTACAAATGTCAAGTCTGTATGATCGTCTTAGCGCCAAGACTATAAGTCTGAAGGTGTTGCAGCTGTTGTGAAGCGAGTTAGTCCTATAAGTATCTTTCTTTTTTGTTCTTTAACGCCGCACTCAGCAATATTCCAGCTTCATGACGGCAGTCTGTCAGACAATCTAGTGATGGATATCATGAGCATCTATCCAGCAATTGGGATCGGTGACATGCATCAACCAAGTCAGCGAGCCTGACCACCCAATCCCATTAGTTGCTGTTTACAACAAGCATAGTCTACAAGTATCTGAAATCCATGTTCAAGTATGTTATGGTTATCGATCAAAGACTGTTTAAGCTATTGAAGACAGTCTATGGAAGTTGTGAAGCTAAGATTGCTTTGTGGAATGTGGCCCTGAGCCTATTTCAGTCTTCCAAGCTAAGTCACAAAACCAGTGGGGAAACAGATCATGACCTCATTTTAGTCAGCTTTTTAGAAGCCTGTTCCACCCTGATTGTAAGAACCTTGTATATTGATTACAAGTTCATTCCAACCAGGATATATGCTAATGTGTTCATATTTAATTCGTGTTTGTGCCAAATTGATTACTTGCTCATTGACCAATACTTGAAATGTTTTTATCGTCAGTATTGCTTCTTGCTTACCCATGCATGACAAAGTGTTTTACTTTTTTACACTGTCAGCAATAAAGAAATCTAAACTGGCTTTCCTGCTGTTGATCTTGTTTCTTGTGTTTACACATTCATACATTTATAGTGAGGAGGCTCATCATGTTCTAGATTATTGCACTTCTTCCTGAAACCCTTGGTGGCCAAGTGCTAGATTGCTGAAAGTGTGCTGGCGAATGGGTGCTTCAGAGTGTGGGTTTCAATCCGCAAAAGGACTCAGCCCCAAAAAGTACAGGAAAGTGTTATCCCAAATTTTAAATTAGTTACATTTGACTACTTTCTTGCACTTCTATAGCACCGTGTATGTGGCTGCTTGTGCTAGTCCAGGCTTGTGCCTGTTATATATACTGTTAGCCCAAGATACCAAAGCGCTGTTTAACATGAATACCTCACTCAGACATTGTATACCAACTCCAAGCCTACCAGTCCTTGGTTTATTCCCTTAATGCCAAGGGTCAGGCAGGGAAACAGCAAGTATGATCTCAAAACATTTTGGCATTCCATGCCAGGGGTTGAACCACCAACCTCCCCTCTCCTTACAGATGCTCTCTCAACTACACCAAGGGAGTGGTCCCAAACATTTGAGTGAGTTGGCTTTGATGACAGTTTAAGAAAAGCCAAGAGGTAAAAATAACATGGCTCTGACAACACAGTGATCATGATCATGGTAAATTTGGGAATCAAACTTGATCCTGGTACAGCCAAGTGACTTGACTCTGCACAGCGCGTCATTACAAAGAACTTCCCTGATTATACCTTCTCTCTTCAGTTCTCCTCACAACCTTTGCATGTATCCATACAACTCTGATTTTTGCTTGCAACATTTGGACTACAAACCACAAAACTGACAAGAGTTTGCCACAAACGTGGCTATATCCCCTGCCCCTGTTGCAGAATTTATGACATAATTAAATCTAAACAAACCCTAACCTTTTTTAACCGAGATGGAACTTGGAAATTTTTAAAAAAAGAAGAGTTTGGAACCTAAATCCATCTTGTTGCCATGGAAAAACGTAAAAAAAATAAAAATTTCTAAATAGCAAAAGGCACCAGTTCAGCATGTACCCGACAGACCTGCAAAGATTGATGAAAAAATATTGAACGGTTTCTGACTTATGCTCCGGAAACGAAACGTGGCGGACAGACAGAGCCCGTTTCTATATCCCCTGCCAACTTTTTTGGGCAGGGATAAAAATACCTCAAGACAAACTGACCCCCACGTATTGCTACTACACTAGATGTCTGACACAAGGATCGATGTCCCTGCCTAAGTGCCTCAGGGTGTGAGGGAAAAATAGATTTGCTGGCCCAATACTCATACAGAGTGTTTGTTGTTTAATGCTGCACTCAGAAGTATTTCACCTATAGAACAGTGACCTCTTAACAACCTGGTCTGCACCAGATAATCCATGACCAAGATAGTGTGCACAAAAGCTTTGGGGACATCTACTTCACAATGAGTGACCTTCACATTGCGATTGGGAAATCTATGCTTTGATTTGTCAAGAATGAATCAAACATTTCCTGTAATTTGAGTCACATTTCATAATGTGACCTTGACCTTAAAAGGAGGTCACCCAAGTGTTGATGCACTCAAACCTACAGATCATGTAACCCTTTGATTAAAAAAATAAAAGTTTTGGTTCTCAGGCACTGCTTGCATCATCATAAAGTCTGCTGCATTTTTATTTCCATTTGAAAAAAAAAAAAAATAATCCTAATACTTAAAAACAATGCAATCTAATATAACATGCAGTTACCTCCCTTTACATGTGCACAGCTTACTCTTTATCTCGTGTTATGGTCATGGTGGCAATAGGAGTTTGTATGGTTGTTTATGTAGGTAGGCCCTATCATTTCAAAAGTCATTGCCTGAGAACCAATTCTTATTTTTTTTTAAGCCTAATATTGGGGCTGCTCAAATATCTCTAATAAACAAACACCAAGTTAGCAAGATTGTTTATTTGGGCATATGAAAAAGAGACAAACACATCACAGATCTTTACGTAACCTCATTCTGTTCCTGGAAATTGGTTCACAAATTTTGTCAGGCACAGTCATGTTAAAACAGAACATACTGATAGCACTGGAGCAGGATAATCAACGTGACAACCAAAAAGAATTTAATGACTGCACAGTTCAGTATTTGCCAAAATTATGACTTAACAATGAAGACAGAATGAAGTTCCGTGGTGAAGCACTATAAGATGACACAGGACAAGCAGCACATTAGGACAAGCAGCACATTAGGACCAGCACATGGTCGTGTTAGTCTCCCTTGAGGGAAGACATGCCGGCTCGCATAATCTCGTCGACCAGTAGAAGATTGGTGGCTATCACAGTACTGAAAACAGAAAAAATGTCCAACATCAGATCAAATTTTCATTCTCCAAACCAAACAACCATAATAATTGAGAGAAAGCTGTTTCCACAATATTTCAACGAAATATATCAACCTGCAAAACTATGTCATCTGCAACAGGTAAACCACTGACTGGAAGCAAAATGATCCACTCTATGCCAGGGTGCCGTTGTACAAAGCGATCTTAGCGCTAAGGTGATCGTAACTCCCATACCTTAGCATAGACTTACGACAGTCGTAGCGCTAAGGTTGTTTTGTACAATGGCACCCAGGTCACAAAGCCTGAACACCTATCACCATTTTTGTAATCTCTCTTAAAAAAAGAATCAGGTACTAGGACATAAAAAAAAAGTTGTTATGATAATTAGACCACAAAAATTGTCAAATCAAGCTGGAAGACAATTCGTTGGCAAATCTGTGAAAATGATCAACAGTTGGTTGACACAAGAGCAATGCTCGCCATGTCTCCATGTATGAGCAACTGTCGGTTCAGGAGGGCAGCTTACCATGAATGCAGTAGTTGTTTCTTCACCCGGAAGTTGTCGAGTATTCCTAAATCAGCTGGTATGACTGCCTCCCCTAAAAAAGCAAATTCATTCTGTATAGATCATGGCAAGGGAGCAAATTCACTCCAATAATGGAAGAAACACTTAAGGAATAGACTAGAGTAACAGTGCTGTTTATATTTAATCAAATGTTATAATTCTCATTGGATACTGACAGTTCTCTTTGTGTATTTTCACTCCCTTGTATCCTTGTCTATTGGGCATTTTAAAGCACTGCGTGGACCTTTTAAACTTAGTTCTGCTTACAATGGTGTTTTAGGTGACTTCCATTTCAAGTCATTCCATATAAGCTCACAGCAATACATGTCAAAGTTACAGTGAGACGTAGAAAGTATTTGCAATATTCACTGTAATATATATATATATATACACACACACACACTATGTTTTCTTTAAATAAGTGTAAAGAACTAAAACAAAAAATGTCAGTAAATAAACTTATTAAAAGTAAAAGACAGGGCCATAATCTTGAACAGATTCTTATTAGGGCTTCTTTCACAAAAGGAAAACAAGAATGTAAAACAGTACAAATGTGTAACAGACCTTATTGTGGTACTTGCCCTCATGTTTTACAATGTTCTTTAACATTCAAAGACGGACAATCTTTCCATGTCCGTGAAAATATGAATTGTGCTTCCAAAAAATTAATTTATGTCATACGATGTGCTGGATGCAAAGCCGAATACATTGGACAGACAGGGGACACAGTAAGAGCGAGAGTGTGAGTCCATCGACAACAAATAAGGGACCCCCCTGGCCGATGTATCCCACTCAGTCAAGACATTGATACGTTTTACAAATGTGAAAATGATACACTGAGAAAGATAAAAGAAAGTTATTTTATTAATACTTTCAAACCAAAATTAAACAGCCTAAAAAAATTGAATTTAATACACAATTACTGTACATTTTACAGTCACTACAATACTTATTATGAGAAAAAATAAATTGTTGACATGCATGTATCGATGTATTGAAGTATTGATGCATTAAGGTATTGATGTTGTCATGTATTAATGTTCAGACGTTGATGCAATGATGTATTGATGTATTAGTAGGGATTTAGGAGATATAGTATAAGTACAATATTAGTGTATTTGTTGGTAGTGTTGTGTATCATAAGTATTTGGGAAGTGTATGTTAGAGTGACAGTGACAGTGAAAAGTGTGTGAAGGGTGAGACTGGAAAAGTCATTATCAGTATAATTAACTTTATTCTGAATCCATATTTGGGTTGTGTTACTCCGTGTTGTGACACTATCCATGATCCAGTATTGCGTCTTACCTGTCTTGATATCCAGTCCCACTGCCTGTTTAGGACCCAGGTACTCCTGCTGCAGTTTGACAATGGCCTCCTGGGGATCAAGGCCCGAGTTCTGGGCGAGAACCTTCACGATGATCAGCAGAGCCTCGGCAAACGCCTGGATACCTGCAACAGACAAGAGTGAGTGAGTTGGGTTAACGCCGCTTTTAACAGTATTCCAGTTGTATCGCGTGTCAGCTGTGGGAAGAAAGCCCGAAGTTATGCAGGTCTTGTACGTTTACCACTTTGGTGAAACCCACGAGCACGGGTATGGTGCTGACAAACCTAGAAACATAATCGGGGTGAACCGGGATTCGAACCCAATCATAGGTTTCTGGCGTGCCCAAGGGATGCAACTCTGCACCAGACAAACCAGTGATTGGTATGACGAGCAAAAATCCAAGCCATTGGGATACAATGACACTCAATCAACCAAAGCACAGAGTCTAACCACCTGATCCACAAGTCGCCTCCACAAACACAGGTTGCCTGGGATAAATTCTAACCCAAAACTGCAACAGGGCTGGGTTTTAACACGGCTTTGAAGACATAACACCATGTAACAGCTTACGGAGGGAGGAAAACCCCAACTGATTCAAGAACATGACATTTAGCTTTATTCACAAAATGCACATCTCAAAATTTTATAGAAAAAATTACAAATATTTCCAAGTTTAAAAAAAGTTACTAAGATACTCATGCTGTAAGTAAGTTCACAAGTCACAATGACAAATTGAAATTTGTTTATGTCACCCTGTAAACATTTAAATTTAAATTACAAATTACTAAAGTTTGACAAGATACCAGTCATGCTACAAGTTCAGCCAGTGCAAAACTGGTATGACTGAAAGTGTGGAAACTAGGTACATAGTTCAAGAGATAATGTTCTCACGTCCCACATATCTACACAGGTCGCCACTTATCTGTGACAGTCACACGATAACAGAAACTGGGACGCAACATACACATGAGGATCTGTGTCAACAACCACTGTTTGACAATCAACGTTATCTCAGACTTCTTTACCTGAGTAATTGAACAGGATTTCTGAAACTGTCCTTACTCTGACAATGTTCCACTATATTCCTCTATTGTGTCTTTTATGGACCTTATTTATTTTTCTTTCATAATTTCTTAAAGATGTGGCAGCAGGAAACAACTCAGAATAAAAGTTATGAGAAATAGAAATTTAGATTTAGAAAAATAACCTTCCGGGTCTCTAAAGCAATTTTAAGGCATCCGGAAAGCTTCTTCCAAACTTAATGTTGGAACCTACCTAGACGTGCTCGTCCTTTGACAGTGTCCTTGAACTTCATGAGTTCCTGGAAGGCTGCAATCTCGAAGGCTCCAGCTCCAGGCAGCACACAGTCTGGTGGGGAGTTAACATTGGTGAAACACAGCCTTCTAGTGGAACAATTTTACAACACAAAAACTAGTGTGCTCAGAATAGCTCTGACAATGCACTCAATATTTCTACCATATAACACTAAACAACATGTTACCTCCAGTGGACAGAAACCAGTCAAGTGAATGCTGTCAGCAGTATTCAACCAATAACCTGGTTTGAATCTGGACCAGGCATGATCAACGATGCCACTCAATAAGCCAAGCCACCGAGACTGACCACCCGACCCTCTTCAACAGCTGTTTAGATACATATGGGATACTGAGGACCTACACTTCCTCCAATTCACCTCAGAAACATGAACCAGTTCTCTTGTATCATTCACACATCATTTATGTAGCCTACGGTTTCCACCCTGTCACAACTATGTAGCAATGTTTTACATCACTTTCAGCAATATTCAAATACTGGACAATGTGAAGTGAGTCGGTGAATATTGACGCATCAGCAATGTCGGCGATTTGTTTGTTGTTTAAAGCCACACTCGGCAATATTACAGCATTATGATGGCTGTCTGTAAATAACTGATGCTCATGATGTCAATCACTTTATCAATCTAAATAATACGACGACATTCATCAACCAAGTCAGCCAGCCTGACCACCAGATCCCATTTGTAGCCTTTTATGACAAGCATGGATTGCTGAAGACCAATTCTAATCTAATGTTCACTGGTCTATTCACGGTGATATTGGACACAAAGAATGGGCTTCGTTATGCCCATGCTCATTTTTGAATTTACTGTGTGGAAATAAATAACAGCAGTCAAAGTCACTTCAAATAACACACCTTCATAGTTCCATGTGGCATATCCCTGTTTATGAATGGTGGCCATTTTGAAGGGTTAAGTCACTAAAAGTACTTGAGGAGTACTCTTAGTGCCAAAAGTTTTTATGAACATGGCTTAAGGAAATTCTTAGATTTAAGAGTAACTTCTGGTATTTCTTTGAATTTTCTCAGACTTAAGGCTTGTTAAGCACTCTAAGAATAATTTATGAATATCCCCGTTGGTCTTGAGAAATACACTACATCAAATAGTCATCCCATAACAGCATCAAGTCTTTTGTTAGGAGTGAGTGAGTGAGTTGGGTTTAACACCGCTTTTAACAGTATTCCAGTTATATCGCAGCGTGTCAGTTTAATGTGGAAGGAAAGCCCGAAGTGATGCAGGTCTCAGCCGTTTACCGCTTCGGTGAAACCCACGAGCACGGGTATAGTGCTGACAAACCTAGAAACATAATCGGGGTGAACAGGGATTCAAACCCAGAATCATAGGTTTCTGGCGTGTCCAAGGGGCGCAACTCTGCACAGCGAATCGCGGCGCCTTAGACGACTGGGTCACCCGTGCCCCCTCTTTTGTTAGGAAAGTAAGTTACACGCTAAATCATCAAAAAGTGCAAACCCAGATTAATTTCCATGAAATGTGCACATAAAACAAACTTGAGATGTGCAACCAAGTCACCTTTTACTGGGTTAATATCTTGTAACCAAACCGTTCTACACTGACTTGTGTCAAACTTGAAAGTCATGGTGCCAGTGCTATAAAATAACAGAATCCAAGGTGGACTTCAACTCACTGTCCTCAATGGCATTCTTGACAGCACGGAGCCCATCTCGGACAGCGTCTTTGATCTGCGTCAGTGTGTGTTTGTTGGGTCCCTTGATGAGAATGGTGACAGACTGTGGGTTCTTGCAATCCTCCACAAAGGTGTACTTCTGTTCCCCCTGGAAACAACAAACACAGGATGCACTGGACTGGATTTCTAGATTAGCCAAGGTTCACAGAGCAAAATAGTCTACATGGGAGAAAATCGCCATTGTGCCACAATGACCGGAATGGTTAATCAGGGCAAAGCCGATTCATTCAGATTTTTCATTTTATATTGTTGTACATCTGAAAGATTAGAAAGACCAACTGTTGTCTATAAATGTAAATGATCAGGGAGTGTTTGGTTTAGAACTTTCAAATATTCTGGTATGTATCTGAAAATAATAACCATTATTTATATGTACCAGATTTTCAATCTCGAACACTTTCTGAGAGAGAAACAAACAAGATGCCAAAGATTATTTTCAATGGCATAAAATAATCAGCCTCCAACATAACTGATAGAGTATGGACCTACCAGCACATGTTCATACATGAGTCCAGCATGGCCTAGTGCATCCGGTGTCAGGTCATCCACGGAGTTCATAGCTGTCCCACCTACTGCCAGGGCAAGTCTGAGGACAAAGGTACACACTGTAGCAAACACAGTACACAACATGTAAAGACTGAATGTCAGCACGGGCAGTAACCTTCTAAATCCTGGGACTTTGAAAGCATTACCAGCCACACGATTACATTATTCTTTGTTAGTTTGTTGTTTAACGCTGCACTCAGCAATATTCCAGCTGTATGACAGCGGTCTGTAAATAATCAAGTCTGGACCAGACAATCCAGTGATTGACATCATGAGCATCAATCCACACATTTGGGATACAATGAATGTATCAACCAAGTCTGTGAGCCTAACTACCCGATCCCATTAGTCGCCTCTTACGACAAGCATGGGCTGAAGACCTTATCTACCCTGGATCTTCACGGATAGAGTGAGCAAGTGGGGTTTTGAGTAAGTGGGCTTTTATGCCGCTTTTAGTAATTTCCCCGTAAACGGGCTTTACACATTGTACCCATGTCGGGAATCAAACTTGGGTCTTCAGTACGACAAATGGACACATAAACCCTACTGTACCCTACTGCCCAACACACATGTTGTATCTCTGCCTTCTTTAAGTGAGTGAGTGAGTATGGTTTTACGCCGATTTTAGCAATATTCCAGCAATATCACGGCGGGGGACATCAGAAATGGGCTTCTTTAAGAACACGGACTCACCTCTCCATGTTTCTCCTCTTGGCCCGACGCAGGCCCACAATGCCCTCCTTGGCAAACATATCCAGTGACAGAGGATCAATTCCCTGCAAGAAATAGGAAATGCAAATTGTATCTTATATGCTTAAGTTGGTGTTTCATATTTTCAGATTAATAACACAGGGACTTACATGATGGTTAGGTCAAGTTGACTTGTATTTCAATAATAACAGGACCAACAGACGAAGAGGCTTTAATGCTTATTTCTAAATTATTGCATTGAATGCAACTCATTGTTCTTAACAATTATGGTAACACTATTCATGTTGCAGTTCATTCAGAGCCAGGAATTTACTGTCCATTCTGGACTTGCATTTAAACAAGTAAAACTGAAAAATATCGGTCATTATGTAAAATAATAAAGAAATTTTATATCAACCATAACATGGTTAGTGATATGAAAGAATCAGGTGGTCATTAAATTCTTTTGAATAGTAAATAACTGACCTCTACAGTCCGGTAAGAAATACACTCAAACTTACTGGGTGACTTTCGTAATCTAACATCAGAATCTACATCAAAAACAGGCTTGAAGATAAAAGCTTTGCAGCATGTACAATGAAATTAAATTCTTGGAATCAGCGAAGTGTGTCATAATTCGCCAGCCTTGAACCCCATACTTATGTTTTAGATCCCAATATTTATTACTGGACTTCCAATCCGAAAGAGCCTGGTAAATCCCTAGACTAATGTTGCTGTTGAAGCTGTACCCGAGAATCACAGGCCCTACCTTTTGGTTGATGACAACAAATCCCTTGTCGTTCCCTTTGCACACTTTGGTCTTCAGCTCAATGATCTTCCTGACCCGATCATCAATGAACCTTCTCTCTGCCTCTACCAGCTTCTCTCTCTCCGCAGCACTCTTATAGAAGAAACCAGAGTTCACCTCGCTGGAAAAGAACAGAAAAGTATGACAATGTCTTCAGTGACATTCCCTACATTCATAAAGTTAGTATTATGAGTGTTCAACATTAATTATCGATTGCTTCAATAAAGTGCAAATATCATGTTACAAATGCAAGAAATAGTCAGGCTCCCATTTTTTAACTCACTATTTCTGAACATCACAAACAGTATGATGAATTATGAAGGATTTTGCATTGTTAGGTTAGGAGTTATCTCCCATTAGTCATGAATCCTTCAGTGTTCCAATTTGGGGACCCTTGGGTCTGTGAGGTCTTCTATGGTATTTGAATCAAGTGAGTATGGTTTTACGCCACTTTTAGCAAGATTCATGCAATATCACAGCGATGGACATCAATAATCGGCTTCACACATAGTACCCATGTCGGGAATTGAGCCTGGGTCTTTGGCGTGACGAGCGAACACTTTAACCTCTAGGCTACCCGACCGCCCCTATTTGAATCAAGGGACCCAACATACAGAATTAGGGTTATGACAGGGCCCTTCGACTTTCCTGCTTTATTATAGGTGAAATGGAGTTTAACGTCGCGTCCAAGATTATTGCACGTATATAGCGACGTGCATGCACGTGTGGTTTTGTGGCTGCTTGTACTAGTCCGGACTGATGCCGATTTATAGTGTTAGCACACTGAGATACCATGCCGCAGTTTTACATGAATACCCAACTCAGACACAGTATACCGACTCCGAGCCGACCAGTCCTTGTTTTAGCCCCTTAATGCCGAGCGCCAGACAGGGTAACAACAAGTACCATCTTTTAACATCTTTTGGTATGACGCGGCCAAGGATCGAACCCCGGACCTTCTGCTCTCCGGGCAGACGCTCTACCACGGAGGCGGTCTGCTTTATTATAAACATATAGGTTTGTAACACTTGTTACCAATACTTCATGTATGCACTACATTCCTCCATCCCCCTTAAACATACATTGCTTAACCCTACCCTTAACCCTACATATATTAACCCTTGACAACACATGCAACAGTCTTGTGACCGTCTCCTATGCACGCTACTACTATGTCAAGCAATGGTAGGCTTTGCACAAAATTCATGCACAGAATTCTTTTTAGTTATAAACAGCCTAACTTCATAACCTTACTTAAAACAGCCAATCATAACTACACTGCAAGCTGTTTGTAGTGGAGGGCGATAGAGGAACATAGTATATACAAAGCAGGGAGATATGAAGAGATTCCCTCATTATTTTCTTCTAACATTTGGGAAAGGACAAGCAACCCTCGACTTTCATACTTTATTTCAAAAACTAGCTATTATTTTCAGCTTTGTTAGTTGCCTAACTGCTGACAAAATGTTGATAGCAATCTTAATAAATATACTTCATAAAATGACATGGTAATATGAGTAGTCATAAATAACAATGTGCCTTCTTACATGTCTTAGTCATGAAATGTTAAGTTTTGCTACTTACGTCTTTTCATACTCCAGTGAGACGTTGCAGGTGAGAATGTAGGCGTCTTCAACTCGCTTCTTCATATCGGGGTGACGAGATCCATGATCCATGACTAGGCCCCGCACAAACCTAGCCAGCATACACCATATGGTTTTCATAGTGAGCAAGGAAATAAGCAGCCAAACTAACAAGTGTTACAGCTATCTTTCATGTTCAGGCGAAAGTAAATTCATAATTTCAATCAGTCAAAATGTCCTCTGATCCTCATTCGAGTCATCTCTTGATGAAATGGGATGCTAAGTTTGTTTGTGTGTTTATTTAACACCACACTCTGTAAATTACTGATTCTGGACCAGACAATCCAGTGATTGACATCATCAGCACTGATCCATGCAATTGAGATACGAAGACATGCATAAACCACGTCAGTGAGCCTGCCCAATTGATGCCTATAGTCACCTCTTACAAGCATAGCCGTCTCTTACGGTAAGCATGGGTTGATTAACTGATTAAGACTTATTGTCTACATGGATCTTCACAGGTCTGCTAAGTAACCATTTTCCTATTACCAAATGGGGAGCTGGGAAAACCATCCCCTATGGCGTTGAAATACTAAAATTGTGACTTAAACAGGAAAAATTCACTTTTTCGGAGACAAAGTCTACCATCCTGATTTTTTATAAAGAACAAACGAAAACCATATGTCCGGCCAAGACTTCTTACAATTGGCTGATGTCTATCAAGCAATCAGAACTGTGATTAAGCCATCGGAGAAAGTGTGCTACAGCATGATCAAAATTAAACAATACACTGGCATCAGTTCGATTGGTCATAATGGTGAAGTTTACACGTTTTCAAAGCTATATAATTTAGTTCTAGTTTCAATGTTTAACAAACTTGACAGCATGTCAGCTAATTTGAAGGTTGTCTGCCAAACTGAAGCAGGTTTTTTATTGTCCAGGGAACTCATGCCACAAGTCATACAATTCAGCACTGATTTTCCACACGCCCTGCCAGTGAGTAAACATACCTCAAGCCCTTGCTGTAGGAGATAATTGTTCATAAACCTATAGCAGCTAAAACTCACGTCGTGTCCATGTCAGTCTTGTGTTGCATCTCCATGATCTCCACCATGTGGAGGTCAATGGCCTCATTTGGGCGCTTGATGGCCAGCACAGCATCAACAACATGCTGCAATGGTGAAGATAAACAGCATCTTATCAGGATGTGCATCGGCATTGCTTATCATAGTGGGGGCAACAGAGTAGAGTCTCTAACCATGCTAACCACTAGGCTTTTTCTGCAGTTTTTCAACAAACAAAAAGGCACAATTTCATTAAAACCAGATCCTTTCTGTTTTGATACATTTCCATCACGTTTTTCAGCAGTCCCAATTGTCTACGTAACCAGGTGAAATATTCAGAGCAGTATATCTGATTTATGTATCTTGAACACAAACATAAACAGGCAGTTCTGAATGGAGAATAATAAAGACCATGCTATATATATTGTGGAACTTTTATACACCCTGTCGGTCTTGAGCTTCACTGCATTAACACCCAAAGGGGTTCACCATTTAGGAGTGAGTGAGTATGGTTTTACACCGCTTTTAGCAACATTCCAACAAAATCATCACGGGGAACACCAGAAATGGGCTTCACACATTGGACCCATGGCCGGACACAAACCCATGTCTTCGGTGTGACAAGCAAACACTTTAACCACTAGGCTACCCGACCGTCCCTTCACCATTGAGGAAATGTTTGTGTTCTGTGTGGCTTTTCTTTAATTCAGATCTATATTTCTGGAGTGTTCTCCCAGGGAAGAGGTATCCAAATCACAAGTAAAAGATCTAATCTAATGAGATTTGCACATATTTCCAAAACGAAGCATCTTCAATTGTCCAGTGTATAATATCTCCATTCTATTATGATCTGTTTTGTTTGTTGTTTAACGCCGCACTCAATATTCCAGCTACATATATGACAACGGGCTGTGAAGCCTGACCATACGATCATGTTAGTAGCCTGTTACGACAAGCAAAGTCACCTCTTACGACAAGCATAATCGCCTCTTAGGACAAGCATGGGTTGCTTAAGACCAATGCTAACCCAGATCTTCACAGGTACATTCTATTATGATAAACTCCCTGGACCCATTTGCCACCATGACATCACCATCTCCATTTCTCTTATCATCACTTACTTATCAATACAAAATGTAAACTAGTAAGAACAAGCCCTCAATATACCATAATTAAAAGTAACATCTTCAAAATCAGTTAGTCAAAACAAATGTATGAACATGAAGATACAGCAGAAACTCAAAAGATTATACAAAACAGTTTTCTCAATAGCTTTCTTCATATAGCTGGAATATTGCTGAGAACGGTGTTAAACAACAAACAAACAAATCCTACTTGAAAGCATCAATATTGAGCTGACACAAGAGAATAAGGAACAAATACCTTTGGCCTTTTGGAAAGAATGGGTGTATAAATATAAATGCCAGCTGCATGATGGAAAGCTTACCTCTGTGAGCAGATCAGCCAGCTCCTGGTGCACCTTGGTCCTGAGAGATGTGCGTGCCACCTGCACCAGCGTGTCACGGTCAATTGTGCGCTCAATCTTCACCTCATCCAAAACCTATATACGCAAACACAAAACAATTTTATCATCAAGCCCATAAAAAAGTGATGTGAATCTGATTACCCAAGTACTCAAACAACTAGCAAATAATGTTTGGGACCTTTTTTTCGGACCTTCAAAGGAACTCACAGATGTATGTACTAGGAGTAAGTTTTGACCTGTATGCAGCAGTAAACTATCTGTATAATTCTACAAACTTCAAACCATCAAGCTACTATAAAACCCTCACTAGAATAATCATGACGTACCTCCAAAGACTTGTTTCTGGCCAGTTCGAACCCCTCGGTGATCAGACGAGGATGTAGTCCCTGCAAAAGAAAAATAATTTCATGCCAAGGAACAGATACAGATGAAATAATCTGACATTCTTTTATGGCAGCCTATACAGTGTTTGACAGTTCAAGCGTAGTTCTGAACACTAATATGGCATACAACGACATACCCCTTAGACATGTTAGGGACTGTGTCAAAAGTTTGTATGCTGATTGCTGAAGTCTCAAAATTCTCAATGTTGACATGGCACCATGGACACTGATCAAGTGAAGTGCCCAAATTTCAGGACTTTAAACCCCTGCGATCTTTCTTGCTATTGTTTGATTACAAGCGCAACAATCCTCTTCATACACCAAGTCCAAAATATCATGGCACCTGGCAATTGGTTTTTCATGTTTAATACCAATTTCACACAGATTACCATAATCCTTCAAGAAAATGCCTTGTCTGCCCTACCTCTGCTATGTAGAGATCAGCCTGTTTAAGCAGCTCTCCGATGATGAGGACGTTGGACGTTGTGCCATCCCCTGTGATGTCATCTTGAGCAGTGGCCACTCTTGCAATCAGGGAGGCGGTAGGGTGCTGGATTTGCTGCAAACACGACAGGTTATCAAATATATATTGCTGTAACAAACCTAGAGTTACTTATTACTAAGGGATAAAGAGTGACCCATGACTTACATCGTCTTTCAAAATGATCATGATGAAGGGCTATGTTTCAGAAATGAAGTCAGTGGACAAATAACGCAGATTGCTCAGAAATGGGGGGGATCATTCCTTTGCTCCTCAATGTGCCTGGCAATCTGAAGCACTGTGGGTGAGTTGGGGTGGTGAACTAGAGATATTTTGAAACACATTTTCCTCTCAGTGATAGTTTGAATACAATTATTACCATTATGCATGCGCTCCTACATTCATATTCCACACAACCATAACACCCTGAACCATGACCATGATGAAAACAGATGTTGTTTTGCAAGATGAAGAAATGTTGATATTTCCTTACCATCTCATGTAACAGAACATTTCCATCTTTCGTCAGCTTGATGTCTCCAGCTCCGGACACAAGCCTGAAACAAGAACACAGTGTTGATGCACAACTGCCAGCAATAATTCTGTGTACAAACAAGTACACAAATATTATTCCTCTTGCTCATTTAATAGTGTTTATGAAAGGGAAGGGATTCCAAACAAAGGGCCCCTGGCAGTCAATTTAGAAAAACATTGGGGTTTTTTTTGCTCAAATTGGTCAATGTATACAAGTCACTTCTTCATAGCCATTCAGATATTTACTGTATCCTGTACATAACATGAATGGGAAATGTGTAATTCCTATTTGGGAATTTGTACCTACATTTGCTGCTGACTTGGGGTCGAATATCGGACTGAGCAGGTGTTGGAAAAATCCCTGAATGTTCAATCTCGTAACTATTCATAATAATCATCACTGTTAAAATTCTGATTGCCTTCAGAGCCATTTGAATGTCAACGTGATTGTCATGTAAGCTTTTCCTACTAACAGTCTTCTCAGCCTGATCATGCTGATAACCAAGAATTAAAGCAAATATCACCATGATCAAGGTATATGAATGAAATTACTACAACTTAGTACAAGTAAGTAACCATGGTAACTGAGTCAGACTGGTAACAGATTGGTGCCATAAGACCACTCACAAATAGCCAGGGATCAAAACTTGACTACAGCTACACTATAACTATAAATAGCTACTGTATCATACTAAGCACCTTGCTTCAGTAAGTGACGCCTGACCAATGTTTAGACCAATCTGAGTGTAATGCTGTACTAAGACCGAAAATGGATGTGACAGTCCATATTTTCTTGCATATAGAACAGAATTCTTTTTACAGAAAAGTTAACAGCAACGCATAAAAAGGGTACAGAATTGCCAAAAAGCTTCTATTGAAAAAGTTTAAGTTTCATCAATGTTTGTTCACTACTGCTTGATCTCCGAAAACAAATTTAACTTGTGTATCGTTTTGACCGGCGCCCCTTAATCACTTTTGTGAGGACAAAATCTCGACCAGACAAAGCAGTGATTGTGGTTTAATATGTTATGAAATTCAGTGTGATGTTTAATGAGCAGAGGCTTTAGGGGCCCCTAGACAAATATTTTCAATTTGCCATAAGCATGGGATATACTCTTTACATATCTTCATGCCTATGAGTTAGATTTTAAGTGGCTCTTTTTTTAACATAAACGTGATAAAGATTGTATCCTTAGCTGCAGTAACCGTAATTCTGTGCTACTCCCTAAAATGAGTTTGATTTTGACAGAACTAGATCTATGGCTGTCAATAGTGTTAGCCACCTGAGTCGCTCCTTGATTTCTTAAACATGTTAAATGTGCAAACTTCTAAAATAATTCATTACTTTTATATATCATCAGATCGTGTTTTCGGACATCATACGTTTCCAGACGGCCAAGTTTATCGTGAATTACTGGTGCTAATAACAGGGGGTGCAGCGTTAGAAATTGGCACTCGTCCTATAGTCCTCGCCAAAGTGCCCACTAAATAAGGTATCATAAGGACAAGTAGAAATTTGCGATTTTTAAGGGTTTTGCTATATGTTATCATTATAAGGACTAGGGGTCTAAAACTGTTTGTTTCTAACGCTGGGGTGTAGCTTCACTGACATTATAAATGCTCAGATGATGGCTTGTTTTTAAGAGAAAGTTGCTTTCATAAGTGAAAAATATTTTACAGTTGTTCATGTGATTAGAGAGAAAAGCATGAATGTTTCTTTAGCATCCGAAAACCTGTAACAGGAGTGAGTGAGTATGGTTTTACGCCGCTTTTAGCAATATTCCTGTAATATCACGGCGGGGGACACCAGAAATGGGTTTACACATTGTATCCATGTCGGGAATCGAATCCGGGTCTTCTGCGTGACGAGCGAATGCTTTAACCACTAGGCTACCCGACCGCCCCCCTGTAACACGAGGCTACGTTAACCATAACCGTTAAAGTAACAGCAGAAATACAAACTTTTTAATTTCTATCATATTCATGGTCTTTTTTTAATCATATGGGGCAGTGTACAGCAAACATAGACGGGGCCGGTTTCGCCAGCACCCATGTTTTGCATCCAAACCACGACAACTTTACCACCCACCTTTGTTTTTTATAACACGGTAAGAATGGTAAACATCATTTTACTATCTAAATTATTCAAAGAACCACTGTCGTTTTTTCACACACGGAATACTTGTAAAACGCCTCTAAGTAACAAGTACCGACATGACTTACAGAAAACAGCATGTAGGCCTAGAGCACGTGTTTCCAGAATGTTCTTAGTAACGACGCTTGTCGGCTTCGAAAACTCATGGTTATTTTGTGTAAACTCACATTTTCATGGTACCCTTTGGGCCGAGATTGGTGCGAAGGACATCTTGAAGACCTTTTGCTGCACTTATATTGACAGCAAGGGCCTGTGAAGCCCTAGCAACTTCGGCTTTCGGATTCAGAGACTTTATCGCCGACATCTTGGACCAAGGTTTGCTTCTCACGAGAACGTTCGAGATTGGACATTCCAGGGATCCTTCATTGTATTACTTTGCTGACAACTATGATCTGCAAGAAAACCCCATGGGGTTTTCTTGCAGATCAATCATGCATATCTATATTTTAAGCTGAATTAAGGCTGTCGCTTATTCTAATATTTTTTTCTAATATTGTTTTTATCAAATATAAATTGGAGCTGGATACGTGCCCGGGGCTAATATTAATGTGTGTAAATGTTTAGTCACATATATTTGATGCGTTACATGTCCGTCAATCAGAACGGTGGTCCAATTAAGAGGTTTGAAAAGTTAGGATACACGCTTTTCAAAAGGGTGCATGAACGTTCCTAACGTGGATATATCATCTTAAGATAAAATCATATTACTACGAAAATCTGTGCTACCTTCTTATTTATTGTCATTTCCATGCACTGATGCATTTACCCTATTTATACGTACAATACTTTTTTTATGAAAAGAAAGTGTACAAAAAAGCATTCACACGTTCGTTTAACTTCTGTGCACATTGATATATGCCTAATGATTTGTTTGTTTGTTGTTTAACGCCGCACCCAGCAGCATTCAAGCTACATGTATATGGCTGCGGTCTGTAAATAATCGGGCCTGGCTGGCCATTTTTTGGTGATGAGATTGGTCTTAGGACCGTATCATATTTTGCGCTAAGTGTGTGTGTGTGTGCGTGCGTGCGTGCTTGCGTGTGCTGTTTTTTAACCTGAGTCCAACGTGGCTGCAGCTTACACAATGTTAATTGGTATAACAAGCAATCTAATTAAAATCTTATCTAAGATTTCGCTGCCGCTTTGTTTAGCGATAGCGAGAACTAAGATCTTATTTTAATGAGATTGTATAACAAGAAAACGTTCGATGCGATGCATCAATTAACACGGCGGCAAACTATTTGTTCGTCAAGTTATATTTACAAAAAAATAACTTCCCCAAAATATTCAATCAACACAGGCATGTTTAAAACAAAATAAACAATATTTGTTTAATTCATTTTCCTTTTTTACGTCTTAAATCGTGTTTTTAACTGGTATGTGATTACCCTCAAAGGCTTCCTACACTGAATTTGATAACAATGTACGTCTTTCCACAGTAAATGAGCACATGTGCGTAGCCTCTATTCATGATGAATCTAGGTCGAGCTGCATTCCGCTTGGGATGAACCGGTACGTATAGGCACTCTCTCCCTGCATGTCCCCACATACGAGGGTTTGGTCTGCTATCATGATTGTTTGTTTGTTTGTTTGTTTGTTTGTTTGTTTAAAGCCGCACTCAGCAATATTCCAGCCATATGACGGCGGTCTGTAAATAATCGAGTCTGGACCAGACAATACAGTGATTGACATCATGAGCATCGACCCAATTGGGATACGACATGCATCATCCAATTTAGCGAGCCTGACTACCCGATCCCGTTAGTCACCTTTTACGCCAAGCAAACCCGTGAAGATCCGGTTAGACTAAACACTGAGGTTTCATACGGCAAGCAAACCCGTGAAGATCCGGTTAGACTAAACATTGAGGTTTCATACGGCAAGCAAACCCGTGAAGATCTGGTTAGACTAAACATTGAGGTTTCATACGGCAAGCAAACCCGTGAAGATCTGGTTAGACTAAACACTGAGGTTTCATACGGCAAGCAAACCAATGAAGATCTGAGTTAGACTAAACATTGAGGTTTCATACGGCAAGCAAACCAATGAAGATCTGGTTAGACTAAACATTGAGGTTTCATACGGCAAGCAAACCCGTGAAGATCCGGTTAGACTAAACATTGAGGTTTCATACGGCAAGCAAACCCGTGAAGATCTGAGTTAGACTAAACATTGAGGTTTCATACGGCAAGCAAACCAATGAAGATCTGAGTTAGACTAAACATTGAGGTTTCATACGGCAAGCAAACCAATGAAGATCTGAGTTAGACTAAACATTGAGGTTTCATACGGCAAGCAAACCCGTGAAGATCTGGTTAGACTAAACACTTAGGTTTCATACGGCAAGCAAACCAATGAAGATCTGAGTTAGACTAAACAGTGAGGTTTCATACGGCAAGCAAACCAATGAAGATCTGGTTAGACTAAACATTGAGGTTTCATACGGCAAGCAAACCCGTGAAGATCCGGTTAGACTAAACATTGAGGTTTCATACGGCAAGCAAACCCGTGAAGATCTGGTTAGACTAAACATTGAGGTTTCATATGGCAAGCAAACCAATGAAGATCTGAGTTAGACTTAACATTGAGGTTTCATACGGCAAGCAAACCAATGAAGATCTGGTTAGACTAAACATTGAGGTTTCATACGGCAAGCAAACCCGTGAAGATCCGGTTAGACTAAACATTGAGGTTTCATACGGCAAGCAAACCCGTGAAGATCTGAGTTAGACTAAACATTGAGGTTTCATACGGCAAGCAAACCAACGAAGATCTGGTTAGACTAAACATTGAGGTTTCATACGGCAAGCAAACTGGTGAAGATCTGGTTAGACTAAACACTGAGGTTTCATACGGCAAGCAAACCAATGAAGATCTGGTTAGACTAAACATTGAGGTTTCATACGGCAAGCAAACCAATGAAGATCTGGTTAGAGTAAACATTGAGGTTTCATACGGCAAGCAAACCCGTGAAGATCTGGTTAGACTAAACATTGAGGTTTCATACGGCAAGCAAACCCGTGAAGATCTGAGTTAGACTAAACATTGAGGTTTCATACGGCAAGCAAACCAATGAAGATCTGGTTAGACTAAACATTGAGGTTTCATACGGCAAGCAAACCCGTGAAGATCTGAGTTAGACTAAACATTGAGGTTTCATACGGCAAGCAAACCAATGAAGATCTGGTTAGACTAAACATTGAGGTTTCATACGGCAAGCAAACCCGTGAAGATCTGGTTAGACTAAACACTGAGGTTTCATACGGCAAGCAAACCAATGAAGATCTGGTTAGACTAAACATTGAGGTTTCATACGGCAAGCAAACCCGTGAAGATCCGGTTAGACTAAACATTGAGGTTTCATACGGCAAGCAAACCCGTGAAGATCCGGTTAGACTAAACATTGAGGTTTCATACGGCAAGCAAACTGGTGAAGATCTGGTTAGACTAAACACTGAGGTTTCATACGGCAAGCAAACCAATGAAGATCTGAGTTAGACTAAACATTGAGGTTTCATACGGCAAGCAAACCAATGAAGATCTGGTTAGACTAAACATTGAGGTTTCATACGGCAAGCAAACCCGTGAAGATCCGGTTAGACTAAACATTGAGGTTTCATACGGCAAGCAAACCCGTGAAGATCTGGTTAGACTAAACATTGAGGTTTCATACGGCAAGCAAACCAATGAAGATCTGGTTAGACTAAACATTGAGGTTTCATACGGCAAGCAAACCAATGAAGATCTGGTTAGAGTAAACATTGAGGTTTCATACGGCAAGCAAACCCGTGAAGATCTGAGTTAGACTAAACATTGAGGTTTCATACGGCAAGCAAACCCGTGAAGATCTGGTTAGACTAAACATTGAGGTTTCATACGGCAAGCAAACCCGTGAAGATCTGGTTAGACTAAACACTGAGGTTTCATACGGCAAGCAAACCAATGAAGATCTGGTTAGACTAAACATTGAGGTTTCATACGGCAAGCAAACCCGTGAAGATCCGGTTAGACTAAACATTGAGGTTTCATACGGCAAGCAAACCCGTGAAGATCCGGTTAGACTAAACATTGAGGTTTCATACGGCAAGCAAACTGGTGAAGATCTGGTTAGACTAAACACTGAGGTTTCATACGGCAAGCAAACCAATGAAGATCTGAGTTAGACTAAACATTGAGGTTTCATACGGCAAGCAAACCAATGAAGATCTGGTTAGACTAAACATTGAGGTTTCATACGGCAAGCAAACCCGTGAAGATCTGAGTTAGACTAAACATTGAGGTTTCATACGGCAAGCAAACCAATGAAGATCTGGTTAGACTAAACATTGAGGTTTCATACGGCAAGCAAACCCGTGAAGATCCGGTTAGACTAAACATTGAGGTTTCATACGGCAAGCAAACCCGTGAAGATCCGGTTAGACTAAACATTGAGGTTTCATACGGCAAGCAAACCCGTGAAGATCCGGTTAGACTAAACATTGAGGTTTCATACGGCAAGCAAACCCGTGAAGATCTGAGTTAGACTAAACATTGAGGTTTCATAAGGCAAGCAAACCAATGAAGATCTGGTTAGACTAAACATTGAGGTTTCATACGGCAAGCAAACCCGTGAAGATCCAGTTAGTCTAAACATTGAGGTTTCATGTCGAAGCTGTTCCAGCTGTTTCTGAACCCACTATAACAGCAACCTATATTTATGCACATTGCGAAGCCGGGGCGATCAGTTCGTGCAACACACGGCCAATCTCATTAAGTAAATATCAGTTTTTGATAGACATCTAACTACACGTATTATATTTCAGTTGCTTCAGACGTTGACGAATTACGCTGAAACGCCTACATTCGCGGCGAGATGGGGCTGTGCTCCTTGAGATGAAAGACTACGCCCCGTGTATGTTACACACCACCTTTATATAGTGACAAGTCCATTATTTAGTTAGCTGCATAGCTTTTATAAAACAACGACTTGTGTGTAAAATATCTTAACGGGTCGAATGTAAACTGAGGAGCAGAAGAAAGTATACCGAGTTTGTTTTTATGTCACTGAGAATGCATGGGAAGAGCAGTTGTTAGCTTTATTGTCTATTTCGTCATCCCTCATTCCTGCAACAGTCTGTAAAAAGTGTTCTGTGGCTTGGTTTCAATGAAAGTAGTATCTTAAGAAAACACATGTAGATGTATTCTTTGCGTGCAGGCCTAAGTGCCAGTACAATTCAACTTTTTATACACTTGTAATCAATTGTAGATCTTGAATTACAAGTGTGTGTGTGTGTGTGTGTGTGTGTGTGTGTGTGTGTGTGTGTGTGTGTGTGTGTGTAATTAATTATTGATATGATTGTTATCAACTGTACGTCTCGAATTACATGATTGATTTGATTGTCATTAATTGTGCATCACGAACTACATTATTGATTGTCATAATTTGAACGTCTTAAAAACATTATTTATACATGCTTGTGATCAATTGTACGTCTCGAATAATATTATTGGTAAAACAACACCCCTTAAAACTTGTTCACTGGGATTTACGGTACAAAGTACCCAGTTTGTACCCATGACTGTACAGTCTCCTCTGTGCACAGATACGCCGAGTGTGACTGACCCCTAAACGGTTGGTGGCTGTTAACACAGGAATATCTGTACGAGAATCTGTGCTTTACAAAGAAAGTTATCCCAAATATAACATTTGGAGCATTTTACCACTTTCTAAATGGCATTGTGTGTTCATACCTGGCCCGCTGTTGAGTCGTCGTTTTTCTTCCACAGCCTGTGTGTATGCCACAACGAACGTTAGATTATCAGAATTTGGGCGAACGGAGTCAACCACGGTTATCATATTTCTTGCAGCCAGGGTTGGCTATAGATTCAACCTGACAGTCACTGTTAGTTAGGAAGTGTTAATCAAGGGTAACTTGGGACAGTACGAATAAAATGCAACCTCAGGTCAGACAACATGGCTGCCAGGAAAAGGAGAGATAACAAGAGACGTGTACCCCAGAAACACACATCTAGACAGGTCAACAGGTGTTCCATTTGTTTGACAAAGCCGCCACTGTACCTTCACTATTTAATGCATGTAAAACAACACGGACATTCTTAATAAGGCATAGAACAGTAAACTGAGCTGAAGACGGGTTTTGAAAGCGAACGGGTGCACTGTCATGGACCTGACGAACTGGGAAATATATGTTTGGGTTCAGGTGAGGTGAAATGGGGTTTACGTCACGTCCAAGAGTATTGCACTTATATAGCGACGTGCATGTACGTGTGTTTGTGTGGCTGCTTGTACTAGTCCTGACTGATGCCGATTTATAGTGCTAGCTCACTGAGATACCATGCCGCAGTTTAACATGAATACCCCACTCAGACACAGTATACTGACTCCGAGCCGACCAGTCCTTGTTTTAGCCCCTTAATGCCGAGCGCTAGACAGGGTAACAACAAGTACCATCTTTTAACGTCTTTTGGTATGACGCGGCCGGGGATCGAACCCCGGACCTTCCGCTCTCCGGGTGGACGCTCTACCACTAGGCCACGGAGGCGGTCTGTTTGGGTTCAGAGACCATATACCGATATGGTCTCCGTTGGGTTGTATGATGAATCAGAGACCATAAAATAGATTCTATTTTATGGTCTCTGGATAAATATAGCAACACTATCTGGAATTAGGTGAATGTTGTAACGCCCTATTGTTTACAGTCTACACAGCCTGTATTAACTGTTATGTGGTTTTACAAACTATTTCATTCATTAACTGTTGTATCAACTGACGTCACACACATACACACATACTTGCTTTGTAGGGGTGGTGTGGTGGGGGTTAAGGAACAATTTATCTGTATCCAGCAAACTATTTATTTACTGAGCACTATCAAACATGCAGTTTGTTAACTTTCGGGTACTCACGGGGAAAAAACAATAACAAATGCAACAACCAGTCCCGGGGAATTGCTTTAGATCAGTGCCTCTTTAACTCAAAGATTTTGAATTTTGGGTATTATGAACAAAACACAATATTCATTTTATTTCACAACAAACTATTTATTTGGGGCATATTTCTGAATAAGCCATTCATTTACAATCCCAGCGTTACACAATTACACACAATTAAGGTATCGGAATATGTTAATAGTGAAATAAACACCATGCAGCTTTTACATACAGTTGCACATTGGTTATCTTTCAATAACCCTTACTTAAAAAAACATTACTTTGCAATTGGCTTTGTCAACATTTCGCAAGGTTCCCGGCTAACGCACTGAAGCTATAAAAGGGTATTCACTCCCGCGACAGGCCACCAACAGTGATACCGTAAATATCACCGAAATAACGCACTAACTTGTCTGCATATATATTTAGGAGATAAACATATACTGTGATTTCAATGTAGAGCTAGGTTACCTGTAGATTTAACCGCGCTAAATTGAATTTGGAACCGAGCGCGTATGTTTATCTCCTAAATATCACTCCTTATACCACTGAAAGCTGTAGAATCCAAACAACCGATGTACCTCTGACAAGTGTAAAATGACACGGCTCCCATGATTCTCCCATGGCCGAAAGCTATGAATACACGATGCCATTTAGAAAGTGGTCAAATATGTAACAAATGCAATTTTTGAGATAACACTTTCTTAGTAAGGAACAGATTCTAGTCCTTTTTTGGTAGCTTTCGGCCATGGGAGCCGTGCCAATTTACACTTGTCAGAGGGGTAGACAACGTACGTGATCTAGACTACCATGCATGCAGTTAGCTGAATCCCGGATGTGACGCCCCCCCCCAAAAAAAGGAGTACTAGAATTTGTACTTTATTAAGAAAGTGTTATCCCAAATATTTACAAAGTACAGTGAAAAGTGCAAACATAACCACGCTAGCAGTCCGACACGTCTGTACCCATTTGAGCATGTAAAATCACACGGCTGAAAATAATAATCCGTGTCCACGAATATACAATGAATGGTCCCTTGTCAACAAAATCTTGTCATGTGACGTCACAGGGTCATTTAGCAGGTGCTCTGGTAAGAGCAACTCGGTTAAAGTTTTCATCAGACATGCGTCATAGATGTATATAGACCACACCGATTTTGACTACCACCATCGATCAGTCACAACGTTGCAATCAAGAAGGTATGTATGCAGTGTTAAATTCGTTTCATTGCAATTGATCTCCATTTTTACCATCGCCTATTTCTGGTGACCTAGTCTAGTGCATGTGAAATAGAACTCATCGTTTGCCTACGTGACTGAATGGCTTCTCTAAATCACTTGGGGAAATTTGTTTCTCACAGGTTGTAATAGTGTAACTTGCAAAAAGACGTGAACCCGAAGTGTATTGATGATCATTGTCAACATTCAGAACAGCTGATATAGGGCTTTGGGATAGCCTAGTTAATCGTTATACGTTAACCAAGTTTCATCCGGTTGACATTATTCCTAACAGCTGAATCGTGAAAAACAGTATATAGGACTGTTATGAAACAGGTTATGGTTATGTCCGATCTCATTGATGAATATGAATGACAGAAATTATAGAAAATCCTATATATAATACGATTATCAGGTATTATTATTTAGCTAATCACTTTCACCCTCCACTAAAAGTATAAAAACTTTATCAGTACAACCGTTACATCTAGCAGTAGTAATGACTTTACTATTCGATGCATACTTGACCACTACCAGACTACATACACTGGAAACTAGAAGAAATGCTAGATTCATGACGAACTGAAGCATAGTCCTATAACAGATTAGAGTTCACAAACTCGCTTTGTGCTTAAGCTTTTCTTGGGTCATTGACCCATGAGATCCATATGACTATTGTGGTATCCAGGGTCCTACAACCTCTTGTATTTCTTAACACGGGCTCTTTGGCCCTTAGTTTTCTGACACCACACGCTTCTCTTTCACAGGGAGCCATTTCATATCTAAATATATGTGGTACGCTTCATATTTTGGCATGGCTTCGTCAGTGATAATAATAGACTCAGCTTATCTGACCGAGATCCTCTGTTTCACATTCACATGCTTCCTGTTCTAACGTGCGAACTGGGATGGATAATTGTGACATGGCATGTTAGTTCACGTTAAATATTATGACATCATTTGTCCATACAGACCGGTCAGACAACTTGTATGGTGTTGACAAGGACATGCCAGACTAGCCAAACAGGTAGCTAGATTATTTTAAGAGTGATGATGATGATAGGATTTTCAGTATCACCTTTACTAATGAGCAGCATGCATGTTTATCAATGTTATGTTATTGGACAAAAAACTCAAACAAATATTGATGGATACCGATATTTCTTTATAAACCAAGAATTTATCTTGGCATCAAACAACATGAACAATGTTTTTTGACATTCAAACTGTAAAAAATACATCATTTTAAAGAAAAATGGGATTTGTTTTAAAGTTTGTTAACGCAGCAGTCAATTATATAGTCTAAAACTATTCACCAAAGTCCTTTCAATCCTGTTGAGTAGTTCTGTTATCAGTGAAATACATATGTCACCCTAGTCTGTCTCACTGTCCCTGGGGCAGTCGGGTAGCCTAGTGGTTAAATTGTTCGCTCATCATGCCGAAGACCCGGGTTCGATTCCCGACATGGGTACAACATGTGAAGCCCATTTCTGTTGTCCCCCGCCATGATATTGCTGGAATATTGCTTTTATAAAAGCAGTGTTAAACCATACTCATTCACTCACTCACTCACTCACTCACCCATATTATTTTCCCTTGCACCCAGCCCTAACTATAATGCTATAGCCATTGAAGCAAGTCTAGATTTTCCAGAGGTTCTGAATCTCTCATCCCACTGGAGCGCCCTTTCAATTTTAATGGAGTTCTTTGTTTCTATCAAAATTCTAGTTTTTCAGAGACTAAGCATTAGTCTACATGTCACCCCTACAGAATCATAACAATGCTTATAACTATAAATAGGGTATACATGTATTGAGAAATTTTGTAATTCCAGTTTGGTAATTAATACTGACATTTGCTGCTGACTTATGGCCAAATATTGGCATCAGAGCATGTCTGTATAAATCTCTCTAAACATGCTAAACGCATTGATAATAACTTGAATGTTGTATCTGATGAATGCGATTGATTATGAAGATTAATAGGGATGGGTATTTAAAGTGTATCACAATATTTTACAATACACATGCATGTTGCAGTATGCATCACAATATATCGTACAATTCTACATTGTGAATTCAAAAACAATCTAAAACATCAATGTTGAATTTCATAAATGGAAAAAAACAAGATGCTGGTACAATATAATGTTTTCTCGTTCAATAATTACGTAGACTTCATGGGGGCCCTGGATGCACACCCCGGGGCATTAAAGGTATATGGAAAGTGTATGACATTAAACACATAATAAATTCGCCCGATATTCTGTGCTTGAAAAAATGATATTGTGATACATATTGTGGGAGGGGTGGTCGGGTAGCCTAGTGGTTAAAGCGTTCTCTCATCACGCCGAAGACCCGGGTTCGATTCCCGACATGAGTACAATGTGTGAAGCCCATTTCTGGTGTCCCCCGCCGTGATATTGCTGGAATATTGCTAAAAGCGGCATAAAACTCACTCACTCACCTATTGTGGGAAGAAAGAACCTCAGTTTACTAGGGCTGTTACGATTCACTCGTGTATTTGGTGAATCAAACCGTATCCTTTCATGAATTGAATTCGTTATTCTTGGCCACTAGAATCGAATACTTATGAATATGCAAGCATGTGCATTTACATAAAAATACCCATAAGAACATATTATATGCATAGATTTCTTCAAAAGACAACACTCTTATACTATTTACTTTGACAGTATTGTGGTAACTGGTCATTGTCGCATTTGAGCATGTTGAGCAGATACTAGTACCTGGATAAGTGCAGTATATAAATGTATAATATATTAATTAACAAAACATGTCAAATAATTTATGTTGTTATTGCTTCACTGAATATAAAGAAAAATGTATCAGCTGCTGACTTGTTATTGTATTCGTGAATTGATATTCGTATTCATTACCCTATATTCGTGATACGAATCATATTCACCTCGTAGTGTATTCGTTGAAGCCCTACAGTTTACCGATATGCTTGTAATACCACACCCTTGACTATTGACCAGCTCCGAGTTTCAATATGTCTTGTGTAACTAAAGCTTGTCACAAGGAGCACCTGTCATGTTATTGATGGAATATTGCTAAAAGTGGCATAAACCATACTCACTCACTCACTTGTAGAGAGAAACTTAATGAATTTGGTAGTCAGGGTCAGTAGCTTATGTGATTGTATGTCAACGTATCCTAAAGACAAGTTCAGGCCATAGCTCATAATCATCATGATATCAACCACTGGTTTGTCTGACCCAGATTTGATTATTTTCATGCATCTGTCATACAGTTGAAATATTGGAGGGGATACTGTGTGTGATGTGACGTTAACCCCATGAGGATTTCAGGTTAGAATTGGTCCAAGCTACCAGTGCTAGTCATAAGCATGGTAATACTAGCTCAGTGACTTGGTTGAATATGTGTTGTAGTATCTCAACGTTACTCATAATACAAATCTGTGAAATCATTGGTTTGTGTGGTGCAGGCTGGATTATTTGGACACCCTCTGTGGTCTAGCAGCAAGGATTAAATTTAAGACACTAACATGAGCCAACAGCTCATATCATGGATTGGCCCCAGAAGTACAGCCCCACCAGGAATCTGCGATCTGTTGATAAGATGCTTCTCTCTGTTACAATAGTTACTATATATCATTGTATTTGCTCTTGAACAGAAATGACTATTCAAGTGATACTACATTAGTATGTCATGCATGCTGATGTGTACATGATGTAACCCTGGAAACCTGTTCATGGCATCATGGCACTGCACGTTCTTTTGTTGTGGCAGACAGGAGTAGCAGAAGGCAGGTTGATCAATAGTCATATCCTACCTAGCCTCCAGTCTATATATGAAAATGTGTCCCTTGCTCCATGAAAAAATGACATCTGGACATTTTGGAGTTTTGAGGCACATCATGTTCACCATGATCTGAGTGTGGTTATTTCATTTACACAAGTTGATCAAGTTATGACATTTGCCAATCATGTACAACATTACAACAGCATCTTTGTTCTTGGTAACCTTGTGAAAAAATCTTATGATTACAAGCAAACACTGGTAACCTACTTGGGGAAAATGTCCTGGGCCCTGTTCCATAAAGCGATCTTAGAGCTAAGACTGTTGTTGGTCTATGTGTAAGTATGGGAGTTACGATCGTCTTTGCACTTAGACTGATGCAAGCCTTTGTTAAAGTATGGGAGTTATTTCATCTTAAAGCTAAGACTCCTGCAAGTCTATGTGAAAGTATTGGAATTGCAATTGTCTTAGCGCTAAGACTGCTGCAAGTCTATGGGAAAGTATTGGAGGTATGGTCGTCTTAGCGCTAAGACTGCCGCAAGTCTTTATGAAAGTATTGGAGTTATGATCATCTTCGCGCTAAGACTGCCGCAAGTCTATATGAAAGTATTGCAATTGTCTTAGCGCTAAGACTGCTGCAAGTCTATGGGAAAGTATTGGAGGTACGATTGTCTTAGTGCTAAGACTGTCGCAAGTCTATGTGAAAGGATTGGAGTTATGATCATCTTAGCGCTAAGACTGCCGCAAGTCTATATGAAAGTATGGGAGTTACGATCGTCTTAGGGCTAAGACTGTCTCAAGTCTATGAAAGTATTGGAGTTATGATTGTCTTAGTGCTAAGACTGTTGCAAGTCTATGTGAAAGTATGGGAGATATTAATAATGATTAATTAATAATCTTTATTAATAATTACAGTATTTATTTTCTTGATATTAGGCGTGACAAATGGGGGCTTTGTTTCACAACCATCGATACGATTGTCATCATGGTCATGATTAAGTTCACAAAATCATTATTTCATTAGAATATGCCCCCAAATAAAAATAAATAACAACACACCATATTTCTTGACAGATTTATCTCATATACATTAACACTAGGGCTGGCTAATGATACAGATCAAAGAGACTGATGATCATTAACTAAATATCCATCAATTATCAATAAATATTGGAGAAGTAACTTTGAGCAAATATA